CAATTACACTCCTTATTTTCGGGTTATTTTACATTGACTGTTTTATGATTTGGTAGGTTTGTTTAAGACATCAGGACCAATCAACAAGCGGAATTTCAATTCAATACAACAGGTACTTCTCCAGTTATGGTGTCCACAACTAGTGTAATTGTTTGAACCATTAAAGTTGACTTCAATCGGAATTGCATTTTTTTACACTTAATAACACACTGCATTGTGTTGCTTATATTATTTCTATTGTTTGACAATTTTTACTGACATTCAACAGGCTTGTGTTATATATCATGTTAAATCACCAGATGCAATTTCAGTTTGATGCATGAGGTATTTCTTGAGTTATCGTCTGGAAAACGAGTATGATTTCTTTGTTCCATTTAAAGATAACTTTAATTCGTACTTTATTTTTCGGTGGTGATCACTAATGGCAAAGCGCGCCCTCTATTGAAAGAAAATTGTATGTGGCAAAGGTATGCGGATAATGCCCTTCACAAAATGTCAAATTAAAATAAGTAAACTTTTTGGCCAGAGTTTTTGCATTTTTTGCTGAAAAAAAAACAAAATTGAAAATACTTGAAACTAGGTTTGTAGACAGACCTCCCTTTCAAAGGAAAACTTGCGCAAACAGTCAGTTAAACTGTTAATACTTTCCTCCTAAAATCTAAGTTTTTTTGCTCAATGTCACGTTATTAACCCCTTGCATTTTAATTTTAAATTGTGGCAAATAAATAAATAAATAAATAAATAAATAAATAAATAAATAAATAAATGAAATGAAATTGTATGATTATCCTAAGGAATGTCTGTGGAAAATTTGGGGTAAATCATTTTGTTCCCTCAAATATATCAATGATTTTAGCCAAAATCTTCAAAATGGAATGAAAAGGGGTCGAGACACTGAAAAAATGTCTCCTTAAGGGGTACATTCACAGGAATACTAAAAGTATCACTACACAAGTACTGTTAATAGCAACCAATCACAACATTCAGCAATTTTGTGCGAAACTTTGAACACGGGCATTTATTGCACTTCAAAAAGTGTTTGGTAACTGAACACCAATACAATTCAATGGTGAAAAAATATCAGTCGTATTTATACATGCATATGTAAACAACAACAAAACATTTTCATGAGACATCTAAAAACATTCACATTCTGCACCGGGGGGGGGGGGGGGGGGGGGGGGGGGGTAGTACACTTTGGAGAATATTTAGGTGATCAAAGAACTCTGCTTTAATCAATATGCCATATCAAAACAAATTGGCCATAACGAACAGTTATACACACTGTACACCATCGTATACATACTGTAGAGTACCGGTTTAGACTGTTTAATTTACACCATAAATTGTCACAGACTTGTACATTGTGAAACTTCCCTTAAATGTGTCATGTGGGGGTGGGGGGATGGGGTGGGAGGGGGGTGGGAGGGGGGTGGGAGGGGGGTGGGAGGGGGGGTGGGGGGGGGGGTTGCCAATGACTTACAGTTTCAGGAAATTGGTTACCCAAGTAGTATGCTACACATACATAATGCATGTATATCACGTATAAATACACAACACACATTTTTATCTTTCTCACTGCAAAACATATAAACATTTTAAAACAACCAAGCATCATTAAGGCATTGTGCTATATGTATCTTTTGTAAGTATTTACATGAATGAAAACCTTAAGGAGTGTTAAAAAACATGGAAGTGGTTCAAACACCAAGTTGAGTTGTGATGGCCTAACTTATTCCTACGACAGAAGTTAAGGAAATAATATAAATACCTAATGTACATGTTGTAAAACAGGTGAACACTAACATCAAAGGCCAGCAATTTCAAAACTGAATTTAAATGTTAATCAATTTGTGCTACATGTATGTTCATATCAGCATTCCTTTAGCTGATTATACACTATAATCATTGTGGTCAAATCCTGCAAACTGACTTTCAATGGCTTTTTCTGTTACATTCTCCTCAAAGTACGGAATATACAAGCCACATTTTAACTAGGTTATGGGACTCTAAACTTTAATACATCACAGTGTTTTCCTGACACAAGTGACACAATTGCTAAAATAAGCTCAAACAATACTTTGAATAACATGCGAGTTGAACATTTTCAGACTGTGTCACACACTTCTACCATACATTATGAACTCAATCACACCTTTCACAAACATGGGTGTACAAACCAACATGCGTTAGTTGAACAAGAGTTGTTAATTTTGAAGGTTTGGAGGGAAACAATCTTTGTTTTCCCAAAATAATACGATATTCAACAGAGTCCCATCCCATGGCTAAGCTCTGCAATTGAACACAGAATTCTGAGCTTATGATTACAAACTTTTGGTCTACACTACAGAAACCTCACACTAACCCAGTCAACACAGAATTCTTCATTACAGGATGAATGCAAGCGCACGAAACAACATTCTTTGCTAACCTATGAAAAACGCTCACAGTTTTTGCTTACCGTTAGTTCAGATGCTCTACTGCACCATAAAATTAGCCCTAGATTGGAAGCCTATTGAAATGGGCGTAACTCTGCCATCCCCCCCCCCCCAACTCGCTGACACGGATTTATGCCACTGCCTAATGCCCTAATGTTCATGACCTTTCTTTGAGTGTCACTATAGTGTCAGAGTGTGTGAGACACTTTAACACCAGTGTTACAAACACTTGGACGATTCAATAGGGAACTCTAAATAAAATGGCTATACATGTAGTAACAGAAGCCGTAACACTTTTTTTCAATGGCAACATTTACGGCACTGCAACATACATTGTAAATCTGTACCCAATTTAAATTTGTGGAAAGTAATAGTGCAGTTTCCCACACATATAAAACATATAAATGTTGGTATCTTTATTGTTTGAAACCAATCCTTATGAAAATATAGATATTAGGTTTTCCCTTTGATTCATAGCACTGGAGGATTTGGATAAAAGGGAAGAAAAGTCCAAGAACCATTCGGTTGACAACTGACGCATAAGCAATGGTCAACCTCCTTAATAACACGTATATCCACAGCAAACTTTAAAATATACTTGTAAATGAAAGCATTAATTCCTAAATTGAACCCAAAAGAGCACCAGTTAGACACACGGCTGAAATCTGAACGCTAGGGCTGTGCATTTCCGAATAATATAGTACTTGATTATTCTAATGTGGACTTGATCGAATATTCAAATATTCAAAATGCACTGATCAAGTTTAACATGGGCCAGCCTAACTTGGATTCTCATGCGCAAACGCTTGTTGAAAATTGACAAAGAGCTAATTAATATAAGCTTAAGAAGCGGTAGTGGAATGGCTGAAACTGTATTAATTTAAAACAGAGCTTGAGCTATAGTCCTCATGAAAGCTTTCAACAAAAGTGTGGCCTTTGACAATCAATAAAACCTCTCCAATGAAAATAAACAGTGTGCATGTTTTTCATCATCTCCTCAGGCCGGTCATATTTTTTAGAATATCTGATTTGACAAAAATGGATTCCGAAAAATCAGTTGATGATCGAATATTCGAATATTCGGCAAAGCCCTATTCAACACTTTCCTACCCCTCTCAGGAAATGACTAAAAATGGTTCCATTTCCCCTCTTAAGGGGGTTCCTGTCCACTGTGGGTCACTCCTTGCCCTCTGGGTGACAATTTGCAAGCTGGAAGTTGTGATTAGGACACATGGCCAGAAGCTAGACTGAACCCCTGACCCCTTTGATTACAAACTTGACCCAAGACAATTTTGACCCAAGACAATTACGACCCAAGGCAATTTCGACCCAAGACAATATCAACTCAAGAACCAGTTCACGGCTAACGCTAAGTAGACACGTTTAGCTCATAACAAGAACAAGTTGCGAATTGTAAGCAAATTTCATGGCTCAGTCATGTTAATGCGAATGGACGCATGGATCTTTCCAGAGCTGCATCACCACTTAAAGGGAATGGACAACATTTGCTTTTGCTGTAATTTTCAGAAATAAATGGATTTGGATGATTAGTGTGTTTTAGCAAATATTGTTAAGCTGACTTGTTTCATGATTTGGGCTTGTAGATGCTGGAAAACCAAGAAAACCAATCATCTTCTTGTAGTCTGGTTCCCTGACCCCACTTCAGATAAAACGGAACAATTTATAGACTTTGGGGAGTTGTAAGGTCAAAGAATCAGCCTAGCAGGCTTGTACCCCGGCCCTTCACAGGCGTGTAATCAATTGCCAAGAAAACCCGGAATAACTAATTATGAAAAATTAGGAGCAGTTGTGAAAAAAAAACCCCATTTTCTCCAACGCTGGTCGGCCGACCATCGTTGGAAAAATTCCATTTCTCTTGAAAACGACAGCACTCCAGGAGCCACGATTTTACAGGATGCTTTTAGACTGTCATTCCCTAACAAGTCAGTAAGCTGTTTCGTGATAATTTGACCATTTCATTTTGTGATGATTGCAAATGTTGTATCTTCCCTTTAATGCAAAGTTCATCCTGCAGTTAGACTGCTCTCCAAGTACTCTTCTTATTTCAGTTCACGTATGTATCTCAACGAAATTGGAGGCTCCGGTAGTAGGTTCACGCAATCAAAAACAGAGCCATAAAATTGATATATTGTAATAACTCTGACTTATTTCATTTCCAATCTTGGGAATTCATCCTGATCCATAGTTTGCACGCCCCAGTTCTTCCTTTGGATGCTTTGGAATTGAGGAGAGATTATGAATATTTCAGTTTCTGAGGTTGAATGAAACCACACCGAACAAATGTCTGAAGAAATTAGAAGGGAACAATCCCAAGCTACACGGCAACCCTGAGAGGAACTGAACTGGGATTATCAAAGGAGGATGGCAAGAAAATAAACTAATACCTATTTCACATCAACTTGACTGCACAGCTTATAAATTATTAAGCTACATGTACTGCATTTTACAACGTTTTCCAATGTAATCGCACCTCGGGTGCATAATTAGTACTAACTTTTCAATCGTCAACAAGTTTGACAGACCTTTGAAGTTTGTTTTTTTAAGAATCAAATTTGAAATCATGTATTTAAAATCAGCAATTGACTGGTACAAATTTTTCATAATCCAATGTACAACTATAATTATGTTTTCTATGTACATTTGTTCGGTATCTGACAGACAGTGCAGCGTCGACCTTGATATCAACAACAATATTTTTTTCTCTACTAAAGTAAATGATATCAGCATTAACAGAAATTTGGAACAGCTTTATAAATGATCCTTGACGACACCTAGGTGCATGCCAAATTGCAGATGAGCCGCAAGTGTTTGCAGAGACATGACTAGAGTTTCTGGATGATTTTGCAGTATTTGGGAAGATATCAATGTAGGTTGTGATCGCAAGTGACCATCGGATTTCTCTGTGATTGGCCACCATTGCTGTAGGCAAGCGTTTGGTTAGCAACCATGTTGTGTGCTGTAAACTAGGCAGGAGGGCTTATTTTTCTATGAAATAACATCCAAATCTTCATCAAATGCCATTATGGTCACTACCTGTGCCGTGTGCGGTTGTCATAATCATGCCAACCCAGCACTGGGTGTTGGCTCCACATTTTCCTCAGTTTTTTGCATCCATCACAGCGCGGCACTGTACAATCTTTGCCTACTGCAATAGCAATGCTGGCCTTCCGGTACCCAGACGTAGGCCAGGTTGTGAGAGAGCCTTATAACAGTGGCTGGCCTCCGCCTTTCTCAATCACATAAATGTCTCCAACCCTCCTTGTGTTTTTCTTTAAATAGATCTTGGAGGATAACGATTACAGAAACCTCTCAAACGTGGCACACAACGGCTTTCAAATGACTATAAACACACATTGTCCACCCTTTTGCATCCAAATTAATATCCATCAACCTATTGCTCTATATTTCTTAAGGAGAAGCAGTGCACCGATACGTGTATGTGTACCACGACTCAAGTTTCATGTGCTTTAACATATTCTTTACGTTCTCTACATTCCCAACTGATACCTGCGATATAACCATAGGCCTACCTTGTCCTTCGGTTGTTTGATACCCTCCCAGTAATGGAGTGTCCCATAGCTTATAGGGAAGAATAACTCAGTACTTCACTAAATAGCACCTCAAGTTCATTTTACACAGGAAATGACAGACTGTAGCCGCATACATTTACATTCATATTGGAGCAACGGACCTCAGTAACCATATACTGAATATCATGTTGGTGCCACAGAATTGAACCTACAGTATATGACCAGAGGCAATTTTGGACAGGGACTCCTCTGAATCCCCCAAAATCCAACAGTGTGGCTCACTCTTTGTATATCATCAAAAATTTGTTACAGAGTGAAGAAATGGTCTTTGGGCTCTGCAGTACCTAACCCAGTTGTACCTGTACTTGCACCTGTACTACATTGTATTACATTGTGTTTATTCACTGAAGAATCAATAATTTACTAAAAGTGCTCTGGTGGTTTCAGGTGCTAAAGTGAGTACCTGTAAGAGGCAGGTTGGTTTCCGGTGCTACAGTGACTAAAGGCTTAACCCTAACCCTCCAGGGTACTTTGGCTACAAACCCTGCCAAACGCAGCAGCATGCAACATTTGTCTAAGTGACAATCCTGCCCAGTGCAGCAAGATCCATCACGTCAAAAGTCTCAATGCCAAACTGCCTCAGATCGAGTCTGTGGTCACCGAACGCTGCAGGATACAACTGTGGCATTGGTCTATGGGAATAGCTCTCATTGTCTCAGAAGCAGCCGTTTATGCACTGGTGTTGGTGGCTGAATGCATCAAAGTGCACCAGACTTTTCCACCTGATGCACTGTGTTGCGTCTGGCAGGGTTAGGGTTAATGTATTAAATGCAAAACCTAACGTGATATTGGAGGATATCACACATTTTAGGTCAAACTATTGAGAAACAAACAATGAACTTGTAAATCGGTAACAAATAAGGTTGAACACCGACTTGAGCGCAACTCAGTCGCTGTCACACGTAGAGTTTGTATTGATTCTGAACGTCGTCGACCGATGACATGCCGAAGCGTTCCGAGTTGTCCTGCATAAGGTTAAAAATAGCCTCCAGCTGTGCCTGGCGAGCCCTGACAAAACAAAGTTCAGAAATGGACAAAAGTTGACTAAGTCCATGTAAAACCCTTTAAAACCCTGCAGGTCAGTTTCAGGTGAAGGGATATGAAGTGTTTTTAGTATAAACTGTGTCACACAGAGAGTCACTGCACAAAAACAGCACTGTGGAGAGCAGTGAAGCGTGACCGAGTCTGCCTGCTTGCCCTGAGCTCAACCACACCAAAGAATTGCGCAGGGATTTGAAATGTTATCCCTACTCCACAGAAGATTACCTCAAAGACATTTTAAGTGTGGGTTCTAACTCTTTGGGCAAAAGTTGCTTTGGAAAACTTGAAAGGTCATAAAGTGCAAGACTAGGAGGGTTAAAGCTACAGTCCATCATTTGTAATTTGTGCATTTTGTTCGTTTGAAGCAACAAAAGTGTTCAAAATCTAATGAAGGATACTTGAACTAACCTGATGAAGTTTCAGCTCAGCCTCAGCTGTATATTCCGATTAAAACAGCATTCTAGGATCTCAATTTCAAATCAAAAGTTGCTGAATCATGTTTTGAATTGTTTTGAATTGCAGCTATACACGATGTCGCGCACTGATTCGACGAATTATAGCAACCGCGCGCGCCTGTGCGTCGTGCCAATGCTTGCGCGCGCTGCGCCGAATAACAAAACAAACTACTAATTTAAATTTTCCTACGGTATTAAGACGCACCGTTGGAAAGGCCTTCTTTCGTTGATTACTTCAAAATGAAAGCTTGCCAGAAAGATTAATTTCACAGGGAGTTTAGTCCACTTACTATCTTTCAACCAAGTATGTTTTTCAACAGTAATACGCCAGTTACTTTTTTCAGATGGCTGCAAATGATGGACTATAGCTTTAATGGAAGTACACAATGGCAAATTTACAAAAGCATACGTAAATTGAAGAGAACAAATGTCCTGCACCGTAAATGGAAGACGATAATTCATGAATGCTTTGGGGTTGGGGCATGCACAAATCAAGATGAAACTAATTTTGAATGCCATTTCTATCTTTGAAAGAAAGCCAATTCTGAGAACCTATGTTTTCTGGAAAGTTCGTTCACTCCAATTTCAGAATTCAAATGATGAAAGTGTGAACAGCAAGGGCTAAGACAACTTACTTCCTCTCATCCTCCAGTTGTTGCTCGGACATAGATTTGACCACTTCCTCCTCCAGCTCTTTAACCCTCCGATGGTCCAACATCTCCTGGCCCTCCTCCGACTCCACGCTGCCGGCACCGTCGTCTTGAAGCTTTCTCTTCTCTTCCTCGCTCAGGGGCTGGATGTCCGAGCTGTCGATGAGCAGGTCGTCCAGGCTTCCGTGTGGCTGGGGTTCTTGGGTCTCGTCGGTGGAAGGAGGGGCACCGAACCCAAAGGGACAAACTGCAGGCTGCAGGTTTTGAGTGTACGTGATATGAGAATGGTTTAACAAGTCTGGTGAACCGTTGCTGGTTATTCTGGAGCAAATATGACATTTTCCTGTTAGGACCACAAAACTAGTTTTAGCTCAAGATCAGATTTAGATTATTTCCATGCCATCGCATGTCGTAGTCGAGGTACTTGTGATAGATCACACGTCCATCACAAGTCTCCCAGTCAACTCGCAGGCTATTCAACTGAACTGAGACAAAGGCACTCCTTTGTTATTGCTTACCACCTGATACTTGTGACTGGACTTGTGAATTAAACTATCGTTCATAGATTTGTCATCCATAACAAATACATTGAGTGAAACTTTATTACAAATTTTCTACAAGCTAACTTGAATACTAGATCCTGATTGGTCGATCAATGGCAACAAACCATGCTACATTATCCCATAAACCACGGTCCATACCGCACTCCACGTATCGCGCTATTCCAAGAAGCGCGCTCCATTCCTGTAATACGATAACTGCTGAAAAGTTTGTGTACGGCTTGCCCATTCCAACTTGATTGGGCATCAAGTTGGCTTGAAGGTAAATTCGTTATCCCACTTGCGCTCATGGAAAACGGAAAATGTAGTGCGTCTGCGTCCAACATACTACTCGGCCTTCGTTTTTGTGGCTTGTGGGACACAGACGTGCTTAAATAATTCCGTGTTCCACTCGCGCTCGCGGGAAAACTAATCATGTAGTTTACCACAGGCCTTTCTCACCGCTTTTGGCTTGTCCTTCTCGGCTGTTTCTTCAGTGTCCTCTTGCTCTGTGCTTTCCTTCTTGATATCTCCCTTCCCTTCTTCGCTGGCCTTGACGGGTTTTCTGAGCAGCCATCGATAAGACACAATGATGGCTAGGAAGGTGCACAGGCCAGCCGTGATGTACAGGAGGGCCTCTTGAGATGAAGCAACCAGTATCGTCATGATTGTTGCAATCGATGAGAGCACTAATCACACTGAAGCAAGAGAGAAATAAACAGGAATTTTGGAAATAAAATCATCAGTCAAATTACATTTGCATCTTCGAATTCAAGGCAATTATTGCTGGATGTTTGTTCATCCAATTGATGACAACTTTACATACTTTACCGTCATACATTGTGTACATGTATGTATGTGTACATGTATGTGTGAACCAGTGTGTACGTGTTCTACATAACCCCCGAGGACAGACACACAAAGGGAGAACAACAGATCCTTTCAGTCCTCGGGAGTTGGGTCTTTTGTTCAAAACGATCCTCTGTAGTAAGTTTGTGTGCTTAGTCTATGGGAGAGTGTTATACTACAGGGACAAAGGGAAACACAAAGCATTGTCCTCGGGAGTATAGTCAAACATGAGTGTGTGTGCACATGCAGTTTTTCCCATACCCTTAGCCCTCACAGAAGTTGTCATGATGCTTGCAACATCTGTTCTTCATGAATTGGGGTACATTACATACGTGTACTGATGGCCGGTACGTGTAGGTGAACTGAATCAGATTTCAACAAATACAGACCTCATGTACCAGTACCAATTTGGAACACAAGTCTTAAAGGCAGGGTAGATCATTTGTCATTTGTGCATTTTTTTTTCGTTTGAAGCAACAAACGAGCTCAAAATCTTAAGATGGATGCTTAACAACTAACCTGATGAAGTTTTAGCTCTGTGAATGCTGTGTATTTCGAGAAAACAATATTCTAGAAGCTCAATTTCAATTCAAAAGTTGCCGAGTTATGATTTGAATTGCGCCCGTTCACATTCTCAGTCAGCCGCTCGCAGCTACGTGATGTCATGCACTGAACCAACGAATAATAGCAACTGCACACGCATGTGTTTCGTGTTAACTCTTGCCCGCACCCATTCCGGTATTTGCTGAATTACAAACCAACTAATTTCCAAAAATGCGTCATTTGATGCATCTTTGGAAATGGCCTTCATTTATTGTTTTCTTCAAAAGGACAGCATGCCAGAAAGAATCATTTCACACGAATTACTATCTTTAAACCAAACAAGCTTTTTTTCCAAAATAATTTGGTCAATTACTTTTTGGATAGCTGCAAATGATCTACATCATCCATTGAAACGCACTATCCAGCAGGGAAAAACATATCTAGAAATAGTTCCACTCTTAAAATCTTAACGACATTTACATACAAACATGTACAAAATGTACGATCAGTAGATTTTCTGTAGATATGCATGTGTCACCTGTTTGTTAATTTGGTGTAAAAATGTCGACCAACCAGCATGCAGACAAAACTGTGAGTGCATAAGCGCATCATCACGTTTTCAATTTCATCTGGCATTTCGAGGACACAAATCCCCATCTTAGATGTCAATCACCGTTTGCACGCTGTGACACACAACCCCAGCCAAATCAGTGCGGAGTTACCAGAGTAACCAAATTACCGCGGCCGATATGTCACGTAAGTGTGGATGCACAATTCGTATTCCCGTCACTTGCGTCTTCTCGCAACAAAGGCAGGACTTCTTCCCTTTGCGCGAAGATGACACAAGAACGGACTCCTGATAATAATAAACGGCATCTCGCATTGTGCGTTGCCGTGGTGACATACCCGCAGCAAGCGAGGATGGGTTTTAAGTCAGGCTTTATTTTTGTGTGCCTGAGTGACCCCTGGGGATTTGCACTCGCAATTGATAATGAAAAAAAAAACTCCTTTGATGAATTGAACATATACATTTTACGTACATCTACAAATGTATGTACAGTTCCCTGGGTGAAGCAAGGATGATACAGCGGTGAATTAGTCTGCAAGATACAATTATATCTAGTAAAGGTGTCTAGCACTGAAGACTGACTAAAATTAAAATTATGGTTTTTGGGCAATTCACACAATGGGCCAATTAGATAAGTTTATGGATGTTGCATAGAGGGTAAAAGATGAGCTACATGTAGTATTTTTTCTGTTTTTTCCCCCATATCTTGCTTAGTTGAAAGTGACTAGGACAAGACATGACAAAAGATGATATCTTTTTTATTTGAGAAAATAGCAGGCATCTTTTCTGTGTGATACGTATGTAACGTGGACAGACACAATGCAAGGAAATGGGTGCTTAGGACAAATTCAATTTCTAATTGGCACTTCCAGTGACATTATCAAGCCATTTTACACTGTTGTCAAACGAAAACATAACAGTTTTCACACTGGCTTCAAAGGTATGATGTGATAAGGGTTACCTACGAACAGGAACAGACAATTTGTGACAAATGTCCAGTCTGTTGGTACGTATAAATTCTGATTATAAAATATCAAATAATTCTTCACATTGACTCCGAGTTTTCTAGGTTTTGACTGAAAAGCATTCCTCCAGGGTACATCTTCTTAAATAAGTCAAAATTAGGGGATCATTAAATTTTATGCTTACTTTGTGACTATGTATCTAAAATGTATGTCCTTTGTTACGTACGTAACACTTTTTAAAACAATATCCACTATATTTTCTAAAATACAAAACCAGTTATATCATTTGCTAGTGAGGATATGTGTTTGAAGCTTGCAAGGTTTATAGCAAAAATTGAGAGACCAAGATCGTAGTTTTATCATCAAAACTTAAAGGTCTTCTCAAATGTCACACTTTTGGGCCCATTAGTGTAGAATTGCTCATTTAGCTTTCGTACGGTAGCTACAGCTGCATGCTCTTCATCAGATGCAATAGACCATTATCATGTTGTGGCCATTTGGATTTTTCCCATTCAAATCAACGTAACCAAAGCGAGGCTGGAAGTAAAAATAGTCTGGTTCCTTTTTGCACAAAAAACATTATCACTCAGTACTGTTATTGGACACAGGGAACATGACTGAAATGGTGGCAGCATGATATAGGTATATGAAGAAAGACCAGGAGAATCAGTCATAAGACTCTGTGAGACAAAGGCTAACAACTTAAAAGCAGGAATTAATTTACTGTAATTTAATCTATCATTTGTAGAAGTGAAGATCTTATCTTATAATGTACCCTACTGTCCAAGTGCATTCACATGAAGTGTACACTTAAATTTTCACACACCATGCTATCCATGTACATGTATAAGGTGCAATGTTGAAAAATACATTGAAATTTCAAATATTTATAATGCAATGTTAATGAAACAGATTAAAATTTAACTCAAAACCTTTATCCGTTTTACTAATTTTGTTTCATTTGTACTGTTGTTTCATTTTATATTCACTTTAGAAATCTGTTAAATCAGAAGTTTGCCAACAGTGCCCTGTTTAGTTTCAATGAGAATTTGAGTGAAACATTTTAACAATTTTTTGTTTTTAATTTAAGCATTTTCCATGTTTTTAAAACATTTCCGAAATGCAGTTTTTAAGCATTGCATCAAAATCCATCAATTTGTAATGTACTATTATAAATTGATGGCGACACAACAAAGGCCTTCATTTAATATGTGTGACATTAACGTCAGTAAAGAAATGGAAAAAAACCAAGAGCCTGACCAGTGCAGGAGATACGGTAGTGGCATCAGGCAATGATGGTTTGCCATATTATGTATTTTCCATTTAAAGCTACAATTCCTATGTTATTTTTCTACACTAAAAACCATATAGGTGTAAGCAAACAATGCGCACTTACTACATGTAGCCAGCGAAAATAAGGCCAGGTTAAAAAACTAAACCAGTCTTTTGTCCAGTGTGAGTGACCACTGATAAAAAGAGCTGAAAACAGCTGAAAAAAGGTGTAAAAAGCTGAACTTTGGAAATCTCCTACATGTATACTTTTGTACACAGCAAGTGAGGGGGAAAAAAGCTGAAATCCCCCCCCCCAAAAAAAAGAGCTGAAATCAGCTTTAAAGCTGAGATTTCACACCCCTGTTTGTCCCTGTCTGCTTCCCTTTTGCCTCCTATTTTTGGTTTTTTTAATTCATACATTTGCAATATATTTTGCAGAATATTGTTTTTTTATTTGTTTCCAACAAAATTGTAGCTACCCGTAGAAAGGTTAATGGCTTTTTTGGACACAATTGTGTATCATGTTTATTTGTTTGTTACTCTGCGCCTTGAGCATCTAATCAAGATGGATTTGGCGCATTATAAATGCTCTTTATTATTATTATTATCAGCAAAAGAGTCAAGAAAATGGAACATCCATACCACATTTTGGAAAATCTTGGGAAGAAAGGGAAAAAATAGAAGTAAAAAAAAACCAACAAAACGCCCGCCTCCTTCATTAAAAAAAAAACCTGGTCGAGAAACTATTTTTTTCACTCGGCCTAATTTTTGCTTGAAAAATGTTTGAAGAGCAGTGAGTACATCACTGGCAGAATAAATTATCAACAAATCTTCATGTGCATCATGCAAATGTAGTAACTGTAGTACATTATATCTTGGGTTTTTGTGGTGGCGGTTTGGGGGGGGGGGGAAGTTGGGGGGATGGGGGGGGGGGGAGTGGGAGATGGTGTGGGATTGGGTGTGTGGCATGTGTGCGTTGGGGGGGGGGGATTTTATTTTACACACTAGCCCAGCACATGTCGTACACTGTGCTTCAGTTGGGCTAGATGTTTGTGTAATGGAAATTCTTCGTTAACAACCTACATATCGTTTACATCAAAGCTATACAATGTATAGAAATCATAGCTTCAATAACAACCTACAGTTTGTGTATCAATGTGTTCTTCTATTTTTAGGCCTTGCTATTAATTAAGGACAGCAGAGGCAACCAAAGAAAGGCAGCTGCTGGAAGAAGGCACAAAGTCTTGGTAGTCATTATTCTAATGGAGAAAACAACGTCAGAGCTGCTGTTTACATATTTCTTGCTTTTATCAAATTCTTTTGGGCTAAAAATAAGCTTAGAACAGCCACAGGGAATTGAATAGAGATGTTTTGTGAAAAACATTTGGCTGACGGTGATCACTGCGAAGGACTTGTAACCAAAACCTTTCTCCCAAATTGCACTGATGGGCAAAAAGGAAAACAATTATACAAGAATTTTCCTTAATTTCTTAGTTGTGGGTGATCACGATCACGATGAGTCTATATTCTGTGAACAAATGGACAAAAAATCAGGGTAGATACGTATAGACCTTTTTTGTACTGAGTAGATGCGTGTAGACTTTTTCTGTACAGGGTAGATGCGTGTAGACTTTTTCTGTACAGGGTAGATGCCTGTAGACTTTTTAAAACTGTTTGGCGCACGACATAATTCTGTAGAAAGTCTTTTTTTTTGTAATTAAAGGCTATCATCACCCTATGCAACGGGTACTATGTATACATGGGAATTTTGTGCAGCATTTTTTGTATTTTATGTCCGATGAGGGCGCTTTATTCTAGTTTTTTTATGTAGAGTGTATGTAGCTACACACATACCAGTCCAATTTTTTGGGTCCCATATGTTGCCCCAAATGTGGAACGGGATTGGAAAGGGAATTCAATGGTTACTTTTAGGACACCTAGGCTATACTTTTTTTCTTCCCGCTTGATTTTGGAACTTCCTACAGAATGTGTTTTATTTCAAAATCAGGGTTTTCAGCCGTGGGAATCTTCATATTTTACTTTGGCACTAGATTTTTTATCATTTCGTCATCGTTTTTTTTTGTCTGTTGAACTCGCTAATGTAACTTTAGTGATCGCGCGAATAGAATGACGTCATCGTACTGAATGAATGACGTCATCGTCGCTTGATCAAGCATCTGTTGTTCAATCTAGCAATGTCGCTAGATTTAGGGCTGGTCCCCGACTTGGTCACTTTTGAGTGTCCTTTTGGATGCTTTAGCATATTAAGTCAGCCGTTTTGGTGGGTCTTTTTAACCTTAAAGGCCTACAGGAACAGGGTCCTAAAGTAGCCTAGGTTGGACGACGTCTTCATTGCATTAAGACTGACGTCCAGGGTATTAATTCTACTACCAATGTACCATAGCGAAAACAATTCTGAAACATTTTGTTGATATTTTTACCTGATGGAAGCTGAGATTTCTTTTACATATTTCTTGTGTCCAGAATTATTCATACGCTGGGCTGGGATTAGAAAAGGTAAATACTGTATGTCCATGGGCGACGTAAACTGCAGATCCACGCTTTTGTTGAAAACATTTTCAGTACGAACTCCCCGTGTGAAGACACGTGCGTGCCGTGTGCGGCCGCGTGCGGGATGTGCATGCACGTGCGCGCTTAAGTCTTCACACCGGGAGTTTGTACGGAAAATGTTTTCAACGAAAGGGTGGATCTGAGGTTTATTTTCGGTAAACACGCTGCCCGCGGAGATATATTTGCCTTTTCTTAACCCAGCGTATGCATAATTCTGCTGGATGCAAGGAATATGTAAACAAAATTTCAGCTTCCTCCATCAGGTAAAAATATGAAAAAAAAATGTTTCACTTTCAGAATTTTTTTCGCTACGTTCATACCTGGCCCTGGACTCCGTTACGCGTTGCGTGTACACAACGGAGTCCAACCTGGGCTATTCAAAAGATAGGCCTAATTTAGACCCGTGAACGTGGCGTTGTATACAACGCCACGTTCTTGTTTCATTTCGAACCTGGCGAAATCGATCCGACATACATAATTCCGTATGGGTGTTGAGTACTCACCTAGAAATCTAAATTTGCCCGTCCGATTGTTTTGGCTGTGTAATTTCGACGAAATTTGCCCATCAGTAAAGACCATACGAACGTGTAGAAATTAGATTTTAACCTGACCCTGACAAATAACCCCGGACGCATCGGAGTCGCTTGGACAGATTGACGGCTGTTTCATGTCGCAACCCCCCCAAAAAAACCCCGCAGACGATTGGCTGCTCGGCTCATCTCGTGTACAGTACGTGTGTGCGTACACACACGCGGGCGCACGTGCGACCGCGTGCGGTGCGGTGAGAGAGGAAAGGACTTGAAACTTGTCTAAAACTATGTCTGTTTTAGCTGCGACAGTAAACAGCCGTCGAATCATACGAAAATAAAACGCAATGCGCATGCGTCAGTTGGGAGAAAATGGCAGCTAGTAGCAGTAGCGAACGGACTTCATGAACCGGGGCCAGAATTTTCCTCAATTTTTGTCAAATGCAAGTTTTGACGTGCAAATAGAATTCAAGACAGCTTCATATGTGAGTACTTATTACATGGGCAAAATAACGTCCAGTGTGTGTAACGGAGGGAGTCAGAGGGACACGTTCGCCAGGTTCGAAATGACATTAGAACGTGGCGTAGTTTACAAGCCACGTTCACGGGTCTAGGCCTAATTATAAGTATAAGGGTATAACTTAATTCTATTTTAATGGTGTGTAGGCCTATTACGTGCGCATGAGGGCGCTACACGACGTGCCAGGAACAAAACAATGCGAGACCGGCAATGACCGGTTCAAATCACACTTCACAGTTTACTTTATAAAGACTTCGAAAAAAATATATACAAAATTTCAAAAATATTGCATTTTTCTGCCAAAATACCACGGAGGAATCCATGAAATTACTCACCAAAGAACGGAATGGCCTTTTTCCTGACTGAGCAGCTGGGGGATCGAGCCTCAGGCGAAACAGTTCGAGTATTTTCCTGCGTAAAAAAACATCTTCTTCTCGAGCCTTCGACCTTCCTGCAAAAAATAGGGATACTAATACTAGACGGGTTCTGCCTGACTGATAATCTTTTAACGTTGACGACGTCTGGGTTTAATTTTACCAAGGAGACACATAAACTCGTCCCCAGAGCAACTTCTTTAATAAGGCGCAAAGCAGTCCGCATTCAATTATCGAGGGTGTGGGCTCGTACTACTAAAGTACGATCATGAAATGATACCCGCTTGCGCGCGCGGGCATGGCAAGAGAGGGCAGTATCTCACACGTGGTAAAAAAGGTAAGTTGTCGATTGTCAGTTCACATGTGAAAGTACAGCTTACTTCTATTTTATTTTATACAATTTATGGCAGGGTTTCATTTTTTGAAATTCTTAGATTTCTTTGGAGATCGTTGATTGGCGCAGCTCTATCTGATCATGATCTATGGTTACCGTACCATTGGAAACGAGTAATCAAATATACCTTATGCATAGCACTTAGTAGCCCCTGGCCTAGCCTATTTACTGGACTGCCTCCGGTCCGTAAACGTAGGCCACACGTACATCCACATGTACAAAAACGTGTCGCACTTTGCCAAATTTTGATTTTCGCATTTAGGCTTAGTTTGTAGGGTTTTTTTGCTTTAGAAGCATACTCGCCCTCTTTATAGGCTAATCAGAAAGTGCTGCCTTTAATTCAGATGTATATTTTTCGTGAAATTTCCAGATTCATTTTTACACGTTTGCGTATCAAAATTTCAACATGAAATTTCACAAAAATCAGACATCTGAAAAATGCAGCACTTTCTGACTAGCCTATAAAGCGGGTGAGTATGCTTCTAAAGCAAAAAAATCCTACAAACTAAGCCTAAATGTGAAAATCAAAATTTGGCAAAGTCGACACGATTTTTGTACATGTGGATGTGTGGCCTATGTTTACGGAGGCAGTCCAGTAAATAGGCCACATTTATGGGGCTATATGGTTACCAAAGCCAGAGGAAACGATCGTAATGAAACAGATCTTATAGTACATAGCACTTAGCAGCCATCTACGAGTACGAGGGCAATGCCTTTGTCATGTTTGTTTTGCTGGGAAGTGGGATATGCATGAGTGAACAGTGCATTCATTGTTACTGAATTAAAACAAATTGAAAAAGATGCCGCAATGCATAAAGTCTATATAGGCTAGTCCAAAATGCATCCTACAAAAAAAAAGGGGGGGGGGAGGGAGGGGAGGGGAAGTAGGCCTACGCCAAATATGTTGTTACCTTTCTTGTCACAGCTTGATATGTCTTGTTTGCATATTTCAGGTGTATAATGAATAGTGAATACGTCATGAAGCAAGGTGTAGGATGTGTGCTATGAAGAGGCTTGGTATCTGCCTTCTGAACATCTCTGAAGGCAGAAATGCCCAGGTAGTGGAGGCCGTCGCTACTGCTGCAGTGTCTACTGCCCGGGAGGTTCCTGCATCGGATGCTGATCTTGGTAAACTCTCCCTTTGAAACCCTGTTTATATCCCTGCATGTTAGAAGATCAGACTCGGTGAGGTCCTCGCACAAAGTTTAGAGTCTCTGAGCCACCTAGAAATGATGATGAGATTTTATGATGGAATACTGTCATTGATTGATCAGTGATTTTACGTTTCATTCCCTTTCTCTAAAAAATTCAGGTTTGCATTGCAAATCAACAGTGCTAAACATATTCTCCGATTATGACTACAATCGCTCCGTGCTGACGATAGCGGCCCCTCTCCACCATCTGTCGGACAGCGTTTACAATGCATGCCGGGAAGCCTATGGACGGATAGACCTGGGCGACCAGCACGGGGTTCACCCTCGACTGGGTGCTGTGGACCTACTGCCCATCTATCCACTCTCTGAGGATGTCAGTGTGGGGGAATGTGGTGTGATTGCCAAAGGTCAGTCTGTTAGGTCTTGCTGTCCCTTCAGAGACCAAAGGAACTTGGGGACTACTACCAAGAGGCTGGAAACAAATACAGAAGGCTTCTGCCAGAAGCAAACAGAGAACTGCAGTATCTTGCATTTATTAACCCTAACCCTGCCAGATGCAACACAGTGCATCAGGCGTAGAAGTCTGTGGGACCTTGCTGCATTGAGCTATCATCACCAGTGCATAAACAGCCAATTCTGAGACAATGACAGCTAGTCCCATTGAACAATGCAAGAGCAGTATCCTGCTGCAGTTGGTGACCGCAGACTCTGAGGCACTTTGGCCTTGAGATTTTTGACCTGATGGATTTGCTACACTGGGCGGTTACATCTCTATAGTCCCATTGGTTCAGGTTGACTGGCCCTAATCCTAACCCTGAATAGGACGTCGGACCAATGGGACGTATAGACCAATAGAAAGTATAGACCAATGGGCTGTTGGACCAATGGGACGTCGGACGATAGAGACGTCCCCGGGTCCACTGGGCAGGCTTGTCATTTTGACAAGAGTTGGATATGTTGCTGTGTGCAGCAGGGTTGTAGCCAAAATACCCCAAGGGGTTAGTGTTAAGGGCTAGGATTTGGGTTCATGTACAACTTCCCTAGCCATCACTTTAACCATTCAGGCTTCAACACATTTCTGATATACACAATATTAATTAAGCTCTAACCCATAAACAGCTTCATTAAATTACTGAGTTGAAAATGTAGGTGTCCAAAATCTACTCTAATTTAAATTTAAAGTTGAACAATGAAATTGACTGGAGCGGGGTTTGAAACTGCGAGCTCAGGAATCCACATTGCCATTCTGGGGCTCTACCAACTGAGCTATCCAGCCCAATGTTGGCAGTTCCCATTTTGTCAATATCTAATGTAAGTAGAATATTGTAGGTTTTTTTAGGGGGGTGGCGGAGGGGGAGAAGGCAACACAAGATTCCTACACATGTTCTTATTAAATTGGTTACTCATGTTACATTTTCGTAACACGAGTAACCGATTTTGTGCGATTTTTCTGGATGTCATCTTTGGTGCTTAGGTAGGTCTAGGTCTACTCTACAGGTATCTACCATGGGGATAACAGTTATTAAACCTTTTCAGTAAGGCTACTACAGCCCAAGGAAACTCAAAAGTACATCAAAAATGTAACGTGAGTAACCGTGGAATTGCCCTTATGAATCTTTTATTCTTTTATTCAACTTTATTTAGGAATTGCATCCAATTTAGCAAGGGACATTCCAGGCACTTCGTTCTTCCTGTTTGGTTCATCAGACGTTCCCAAGAACATAGATCTGGTGGCAAGACGCAAACAGGTAGGCTGGTTCCTGGGCAAGCATCAGATGGACTATGGGAGTCTCCAACACGATCTGGGGAGCAGTCCTTCACCAAGATATGGGCTAACAGGTATGGGGATGTTGGTGGTCTTATGTGTTGATTGGACTCATGGATGCATACAATCCTTCGTCTCATCTTAGAAGCCAATAACGGCTATTGTGATAAGGCTCATTCCTACAGATACATTACAGGTTGAAAACTTCTACAAGTTGAGCTGCATGGATTTTAACTTTGAGCTTTTTTTTTAAAGGTACAGTCCATCATTTGTAATTTGTGCATTTTGTTCGTTTGAAGCAACAAACGTTCTCAAAATCTAACGATGGGTGCTGAACAACTAACCTGACGAAGTTTCAGCTCGGCTTCAGCTGTATATTTCGAGAAAAACAACAATCTAGTATCTCGATTTCAAATCAAATGTTGCTGAATCATGTTTTGAAGTGGGCCTGAATTCAGCGTCAAAGACACGTTCTCACTGAGCCAATTGCAGCTATGCGATGTCGCACACTGATCCGACAAATTATAGCAACCGTGCGCGTGTGTGCGTCGTGTCTATGCGTGCGTGTGCTTCGCCGATTAAAAAAAACAAACTACAAATGGAAATTTCCAACGATGCATCTTTAGACTCATTGTTGGAAAGGCCTTCATCTGTTGATTTTTTTCAAAATGACAGCATTCCAGAAAGAATTTCACAGGGAGTTTAGTCCCCTTACTATCTTTCAACTAAGTATGTTTTTCAACAATAATTACGTCAGTTACTACTTGGATAGTTGCAAATGATGGACTGTAACTTTAAACCCTCATAGTGGGAAGACAATATTCAGCGCAATATTTAAAACTTGTTAAAACCCTGCAGGTTAGTTTCAGGTGAAGGAATTGTTAAAGTAACCATGTCACTCAGAGAGTCTGGACAAAAGACAGCAGGGTGCAGTAGTGAAGTGTGACCAAATGTACCTTTTTGCCCCTATAACCACACAAAAGAACTGTAAAGGGATTTGAAGTGTTATCCATAACCACAGAAAATTACCTCAAAGGAGTTTGTAGTGTGAGTGCTAGCTCAATGGGCAAAGTGGTTTTGGAAAACTTGAAGGGTTGTGAAGTGCAGAAGACTAGTAGGAGGGTTAATGTGTTCGTGCAATTCTCTAGGAGCCATGAATTTAACAAAGGGTTTATTTATTTCTTTGTGAGTGGATATCCATTGCTGGTTCATCTTTTTCTTTTGTTATTCAGGTGCAGGGGGATCTCTGTATGTCACAAATTACAATGTTTCCATCGCAACCGGGGATGTCTCAATCGGCCACGAGATTGCCGGGAGGATTCGATCCACCACACCGGGCGGTCTGCCGGGGGTGAGAGTGATGGCGTTTGCCCACGAGGGAACTGTCGAAATTGCCTGCAATGTGGAGAACGTTCCCATGGAGAATGCCAAAGATGCAGCTCATTCTGAGCAGGCAGAATCAACGATTTCAACTGGCACCCGTCCCCACGATTCTGGAGTTTGTCCACAACAAGACACCTACCACAGTGTGCGTTACACTACCCCATCCAAGATCGAGGCCAGGGTCAAGGAACTGGCATCGGCGCATGGCGTCGGTCTTGTTGGAACTTCCATCATTGGTTTCACTCCACAAGAGGCACAGGAGTTGGCTGTCCATGCCTTACAGACCGGGCAGGTGGACTTTTGGCGTACTCGTGTGCCTGGTGCAATGATGTGAACACAAATATTCAATGGAGAGTGAAAAACAGTAATACATTTTGCAAAATATGACACACCAGATATTTGAATATACATGTACATTGAATGTATACATTCCATATATTTTTTGTAATTCCAGAATCTATTTTAATTTGATTTTAACAATCTTGGTTTTTGCAAAAAAAAGAGATCCAAATCTGTTTTTGTTAAATGAAACATATGTTCTTGGCTTTTAAGTACAGTCGAGTCTCGTTAATACAAACTCGTTCGGACCTAGCCAAATTGTTTGTTATATCAGAATTTTGTATTAAGAGGAACATCAGTCCCATTCATTGTGCACATAAATGGACAATCGGGACTAAGGCTTTATGTTTGTTATAAACAGAATTTTGTATTAACAGAGTTTGTACCAACGAGATTCGACTGTACAATAACAAAAAGATGGTTGATGCGCGTGAGAACTGAGTGTATTTAAAACACTAAGGCCAACATTTTTGGGGGTAATTGATGAAAAATAGACAAACTCAGTATCCACAATGATATTTAAAATGCTAAGAAATACATTACAAATAAAGACTCGGTACTTCTGATAAATGGGTTTGGATGGTACAGAATACCTCAAAACCTGTTGGGTAGGTCGGCTTGAGGTTTTATTTGTAATAAAAAAATATGCTTTTTTGGTTATCCAAGGCTAACTGGCTGCATGTCTGCCTTTCACTTGTCTGTGCACTTTTCAAAAAGAGAAAAGAAAAAAAGGAAACCAATCATAAAAACCGCACGCGTGGCGAGACACGCTCTGGTAAAAACGAGGATTTGGAATGCCATTGAAGCTGGCTGGGGATGGTGCCATTTAAGTTCCTCTAAAAAAAAACGGAGGTGAATAGTCGGACTGAACTTTGAATACACTGGCCAGGATTCATGGATGGCCGAGTCTTTAAAATACAGCTTTCCAAAAAGGGGTTTCCATTCGGCATACTGACATGCAAGGGTCTTTCAAGCTGGAAAAAAGCTGTGTTCTATCTTATGGTAGACCTAGTGGTCTTTGGACGTTTAAAGATTTAGCATCCTAAATTAATATGATTTCATTTGTCAAAAGCAATACAAAATGTTAATGGTAAAGAAAGTAAATATTAAAATTGAGAAAAATTTGTGAAGAAAATTTGATTTTTTTTTTAAAGAAAATTTGTAATAATTGTTTTGTTTGACATTTCATTCAGCTTGATTTAGACTATTTTTTTTTTATAAATCTGTCAAACCATATTAAATCCAAATCATTGTAGCACTGACTGACCTAATGATGCCAACCAGAAAATCAACCATCCAACAGATCTGACTGACATAACTGAACAGCCAGTCAGCAGGTCAATCAACAAGCCATTTTCCCTGGATATATTGTGTACTTTTCAGACCTGGAAACTTTTCTCAGAAGTATCATTTATGAGTATAAGATAACCAAGCACTAGAGAAGTATCGCCCAATACAGGAATTGTAAAGCATCACTGAAACCCAGAACCTCTGTACTCTCTTCTGTGATGAGGAGTAAAAGAAAAGGCCCACGTGTCGCCCAATGGTTTAGCATGAATTTAGAGTCTCGGCTTCAAATTTGAAATTGGTCAATCACCAAAACTTGTTCTCCATTACCAACCTTATGGTACATCTGCATCCCTGTATGTAAATAAGGCAAATGTAGATGATAAAACTAGAGTCCGGCAGCTGAAAATAACTGCACTAATGCTGGTATTGTATGATTTTACACACTGGCCAATACAACTGGGTGGAAAACTAGAGACACATTCAACGGAGAGATATCCTCATCGATTCCAGTGATGACCTGGACTAGCTGATATTATACCGAAAGGGAAAAGTGGTACAGTCGACTCTCGTTAGTACAAACTCTGTTAATACAAAATTCTGGTTATAACAAACATAAAGCCTTGGTCCCAACTGTGCATTTAAATGCACAATGAATGGGACTGATGTTCCTCTTAATACCAAATTCTGATATAACAAACAATTTGGCTAGGTCCGCACGAGTTTGTTATAACGAGACTCGACTGTATTTGAAGTTGAACTACATGTACCAAATCCCCCCCCCCCCTAAATAAAAATCATAAAAAGACAACACAGTTCACCACAAGGTATATACAAAGAACGACACGCGTCTTGCACGTACACACCTTGAAAAAACAGGTGCACAGTGAACGCGCATGACTGGGCGCAGGCCAAACACCTGCCTGTAAATCAGTGAAGTCGAAAATAGTCAATAATTTAAAATATGCCGATGATTGTAATGCAAGTTATACCTGTGTGACGGTGCGGTTGGACGGCCTGGACCCGTAAATATTTGTGCCGAGTCAAAACATGACTCTCCCTCCCCCGGGTATTTTGTTTGTTCAATCACTCCGGCCGTTTTTTGTTGACAAACTTGGCCAGTCGGCCTTCTGAAGAATTAAGTCGGACGGAAAATTGAAGTAAAACCCCATTTCTTTTTAGAGACCAGCCGGTACCGTATGCAATTGATTAGGCTGCGAGCGAATGAATTCTGCACAGCGCCCTCTTTTGGCTTTGAATCATATAACTGAATTCGCACGCGTCATGGGCGCACTGATGTCATTGGTCGAAAGTTCGAATACAATCCGATACAGAAGAAAAAGCTTCTTTTCGTGAAATTGGTATAGTGTACCACTAAACCAGTGTTTTATTTGCCGAGTGCGAGGACTTGGGATCAATTGCGGCATTGGGGAGAGGAATAAGGCAAATATAAGACCTAAAACTATCTGAGTGAATGCCCAACCATATTCAGAAAATGAGTCCCCGTCGAACGTACGTCCCCCCCCCTCCCCTGCAAATTAGAACGCAGTTACGCCACTTGGTTTTATAGACGGAGTGAAGATTGGCTAAGCTGCCTCATAACTGTAAGGCCTGTGCACAGTCATGTAGCCTACGCTACGTGTACGTTTAAGCTAGTTTCAATATCGACGTTACGTTCGGGCTGCGCAGACAGTGCGCGGAACCGTCGGGTTCAACCATGGTTCAACTTTGCCGATCGTCTGCCAGATATTTGCGTCCGTCTGGGTTGTCGGTGACATTTGCGGATGAAATTTTTCCGTACTCCCCATCGTTGCATTTGGGGTCTTGTTTGCGTTGCTCTGTCTCAAATTATGTTGATATGGAAAGGCTTTACATAATAGGCCTAGGATCATTTGCCTTTGATGCGTCTTGTTCTTTTGTGATAACACCACTCAAAATCCAAAGAGGAATGCTCAAAACCCAACCTGTTGGTTTCAAGTTAGTGGATGTTTCACTTTTTCGAGAAAACAGTGCACAACCGCCATTTTGTCAATCGTTGGAAATCACACAGGGCCTACATTTCTTGATTTCTTCTAAATTGCAGCTAGCCAGACGGAATGATTTCACGGGTTGTTTATATTATACCAGTACGATCTTTAATCCAAGTAAGCTTTTGATAATAATTATGTGGGTTACTTTTGGGATAAATGATCCTATGCGTTTAATAACGCGTATATAATGTATCAATTGAAGAGGAATAAGGAGGCACGTCTACGGGTATCGAGTAACGACAGGCCCAATTTCTTGCGCGTATAACAAGTACCAGCTGTTTTTTGTGGTTATTCCCAGGGTCCCTTTGCCTCGACAATCGAGCCCCGGTCACGGTGCCCCCAACAGCTGGTTGCAGCTGCCAAGGCTGTCCATTCACGCTATTGTACTCCCAGCATAAAATATCATGGTATACACAAATCCAAAATTTGTTATAAATCATCTGATGTAGACTAATAAATATAAAATCCGGCTTGCAATTAATTTTTTTTTCTTTTCAATAATGTCTGAAATATTCATATTTTATTACAAAGTCATGCTGCATTCATGCAGCCGTCAATAGGTTTATTTCACAGTACATGTATTCTGAATTTCTAAAAAGCAACAGGCTTGGATCATCATGGTAAAATCGGGTTCAAATTTCAACAGATATTTCTAAGGTTTTTAATAGGCGATAAGTTATACTCGTCAACTACAATGATTTTTATGGACGAAAACGGTGAAATGCATTTCATTACAATTCTGAGAAGACGTGGGGTTGGTGAACTCCCGACGTTTCGACCAGTACGGTCTGAACATCCGTGACGATGTAATTTGTAAAGCAGTCCATGGATTGCTATTAAACACAGCGATGAGATACTTGCAACCCTCAAAAACAACGGATAAACATTACAATTTTACAAACGTTCTATAAATTTCATCAAAACAAAACAATGATTTAAAATCAAAATTTACCCGGGGAACAGATGAACAGAATTTCGAAGCAAAAAATAATTACTTTTCTATTTTCTGCTAGTCTAGCCTGCTTATTCCATCCTTGTTGATTCAACCCCCAGGTGCAAGAGATCAGACAGCAACTTGCACCACAGCCAACCCGGTCTTGCACCTTTCGCGGCCGGGGATAAAGAATATAAATTGTCCCTACTTTAGCAGGCAGGAGTCTAGTCACGTGTTGCATGCCCTTCTGCTCCCGCTTGATTGGGCCCGGTGCGCGCGCGCCTGTTCTCGTCATTGTGTGCGATCGGATCGAGGGGTACACGCCGTGTGCCCACCGCGGGGCTTTTGAGGCCTTGGGGGACGGAACATCATGCGGGCGCCGTAAAAGTTTGGCAAAGGACCAAGGAAACTTGTTGAGGATTTATGATGGTCTGGACGGAATCATTTTCAGCTTGACGGCAACATAAATAATATTTTTTTTTATTCATATAAACTGCTTGTCAATGACAATGTGTTCAATTCCTGTTCCCAAAACATCCGTTTCTTTTGTTGGTGTTCCGGATTATGTTCATCCTTTCAATGTGGATCTATGAAATGAAGGTTTGCTAAAGTAACACGGATCTGACAATGTAGTATGTATTGTATCTACTTCAAATCTGTTTACGTCTTTTTCAATTGTTTGTGAAATTTTTATAAACAATTAAGTTTCATAAGTACACGTAAAATTGTAATATATTAAACAAGAAATCAATCTGCTGAACAACGTTAGGTGTAGGGTGAAGCAAATAGCTCATTTGAACAGAGAATTACAAAACCTGAAACTCGGCTTTACTATTAATTATGTTTCACACACTAAAACGAGACCCGATATTTAGCCCTATAAAAAAATGGCAACAATTCTCGATTTTTCATGAAGAATAACTGTTGCGTTTATTTTTTATATAATGCTAATCTAACGAAATCTTAGTTAAGCTATTCAATAATTAATATATGTAAGTACAAAGAGCATCTGTTGTGAATGCACTATAAATAATCCATTATTATTTTACATGAGCAGACGACAACTTAATAAACCGGCCGTCAAAATTCAAGTACGCAACGCGAAACAATTAAAGGTCGGCATTATCTAGAATCATCAACCGTGGTCAGGAGAAAGAGCATGCACGTGTTGAACGAAATACCCCACATCCGATCGTTTATTTGGGCTTACGCATACAAAAAGGACCAGCTGGCCTAATAAAACGGGGACAGATTATAAAGATGTAGAAAAAGGCAACTGGTACGGAAGTGTGTGGTGAAAAGTTTTCATTTCTCGCTTGCTTTACCAGGATCAAGGACACCATCCGAAAGGCTTTTGTTGAGCGGTTTGGATATATACTGGAACTATATACCAGCGTATAGCACCTGCTTTGATGGCATTATCATCTGCTTTTCATGCATTTTGTTTGTTTTCAATAATAAAACCACTCAAAATCCACAGAATGTTCAAAACCTAATCTTTCATCTCAGTGGATATTACACTTTTTGATAAAACAGTGAAAAACCATGCACAACCTTTCGATCACTAAACACGATTTTGTCAATACCACTCTGTATTTCCAAAAATCAGTCAATAACTGACTGATCAATATTTCTTGGTATCTCCTAAATGACAGCCAGCCAGACGGAAATTTTCAAGGCTTGGTAATAGTACCAGTATACGATCTTTAATCCAAGTAATTGTTTTGATAACAATTCAGTAGATTACTTTTGGGATACATGTACATGCAAAATGATCATTATAGCCTATGCCTTTAATATCGTACTTATACTTTACTTTTACGCAGTTTCTCGTCAAAAGCATGATCAACAACTAAATGACTATATAGGCATATTACTTTGCCGAATGATTCATTCTACGATGACAATTCACATAGGGGTGCATGTGAATTGTTTTTGTTTTGCTGAAAGAACACTTACTTTTTATTGGTGATTCGCGGAGAGAACTTTAAAACGGTGTTTGAGTTCAAAATTTCGTAACTTGAAAAGTACAAGAGTGATTTGAATGATTTTTGTACAAAAGGAAAGCTCATTGATTGGGCTTTCACATTCTAGTTTTGAAAGTGCTATACAGGCAAAACGTCGTTCAAAAATTGTTCCTGCCATTTGGGTTTCGGTGGTTGTTTTTTTTAACTCACCGTGTACAGGTTGTTGAAATGATTTCTCTGGCTTGACGATCAGGTGTAAAGTTTCCAATAACCCCCCCCCCCCCCCACTAAAAAAAGAGGCATTTCTGAAAGCAACATGGGACTCTCAGGCTGAGGAGAGGACAGAAAGAAAATTTGAGGCTCGAATCAATCCATGATATGGAACCATGGTGTTTCCTATGCGCCCGGATCAGTTGAAAATAGCTGCTTTTTACCACCACAACACAATAATCATGCGTGAATAACTACTTGGAATTTTGAGGTTTATATAACCTTTTCCTCTCACCGAATCTACACAAGAACCGTACCCATACAGGTTGGTGTACAAACCTGTGGTAATAATTTGTGCCGGACATTATTCTGTTTTCCCCGTATTATGAAAGATGCATAGGTAAACCCAGCTCGACAAATACTACCCCTCATTAGGCCCCAATATACGAGCACGCGAGGGGAGTGAGCTTGCTGAGCCAGCATCGCGCACAAACTTCGACGACGCGTCTGATTGGCTGGATGTGTTTGGATGACGTCGGCGACACAGCTAGACAAGGGTGCATGAAGGGGCCCATAGTTGTATAAAACAAGCCCGCAGCACGCGCCGTGGCCAGCGACATATGCCTGGTATTTGCCGCACCGCTAACGACCCATTGTTGCACCGTTTCCAATTGGGCTCCGGTGTAGTCTGCTTGGCCCAGCGCCTAGCGGCCCCCGCGCGGACCCCAAACGGCGTTGCATAGGGCACGTGTGCAGCGGCCGAACACCTTTTGTAATGCGTCACGCCTTTGTGTACCGAACCAATCAATCAACAAATAAGCCACGCCTCTTCGAAGTAGAACAGAGGGGAGTTTGGCTCACCTCGAGATTGTCCTGCGTTTCAGTTCCGATCCTCTTTCTGTTCAAAAAAGTTAAAACTCATCATGTCGTCCATAAACTGTGACAGCATATTACATCAATGAACATTATACTAGCATCAAAAAGCTTTGCCCGTTTCTTTGCCTTGTTGCGTTCCGATTTACCACCCCTACACTAAAGTGGACTGGCCCGACAAGTGGAATTTGTTATTTACAGACACTTTTGAGGGATCTGCGAGCGATAAGCTGTCACGAGTGGAGCTAGCACTAGCAGGGTAACGATAGCGGTCTCGCGTAGCTTGTGTCAGCCACGCTAGAAGTTTTCAACCCCAAGCTCTGGTGGTAGTACGGATCAGTCTGTTACACGTTACCCCTCCATTCTGTTACCGATGTGATAGTGTTCAATCCTGGCAAATGAAAGCTTGGAGCCGTGGAATATAACTTGACACGACAGTGGATCGTTCGATCTTTTACTTATTGAGCACATGGTTACGAAGTCAACCAAAGTCGGGTCTCGAGTTCAGCGGCAGGTAAAGCACTCATGCTGCGTGGCACCATGACTTAGCATCGAGCCTGAAATCAATATCTCGGCCCACGCTAGCGCCATCGAGTGCGGTCTCGGAAAAAAAAAAGGCCCTCCCAAAACGACCACTTTGTTGGACTGGAATGACCGAAAATTGGAGATGAGTTTGCACGGGAGATATAAGGGCCCAGGCCCGTATCCGCCAGTCGTGATGTATTGCTTGATCGTTGGACTTATTACGAGTTTTCTGCTGGATGTGGTGGTCGGGAGCTACTCAAACAGCCTGTGTGACTGGTCAGGAAGGTAAGCAAAACAGACGTCGTCCCATCCCCGTGTTCCTGCTTGTGCCCAAACCATCCGTGCCTCAACTTAATCAAGAGGGATAGAAACTAGTATTTTCAACGAGACCAAACGAGAGTACCATGCATGTCGTCATCCCGAATTAAAATTCATTATTATTCTGTACTTACTTTTACTGTATCTCCGCTTTCTTTTCTGCAGCTTGTCAACAAAAGCTCAGTGTTATTTCAGGAGTTCTTTGCTGTATCTTTAAAGCTTTCAACCATTGACATTAACAAGAAAAAAAGTTGATCAAATTAATTGCCCTTTTCAGTGTAAACATCTGAATACGACGTTTATGAAATGCCCTCTCTGGTGCAGTTAATTGTTAGGTCATGGCCGTCAAGACGATTCTGGGTATTACCACTAAAATGAGTGTAGTTTACATCCAGAATACATGAACTTATTTATAGAGGCACCAATCTTAAATTTACACCTTTACCCAATGCCGTTTACAAGTTAAACATGTCATGCAGTAAGGTTCGTCTGTCACTAGGTTCTCTATGTACTGCAATACATCATATTAATCCAATAAACCTTTTGGCATCATGTTCCAGTCTGACAGGTATAGGGACAACTCATATTTTTCCCAACTTTGTGTCAAATGAGTAAAAGCCTTCATGCAACCGAGCCGTTCTTTTTGTGTAAAAAAACGCAGATTGATTTTTTCCTCTTTTTTTTTGTCAAGCTCGTGGAATGTTTTTTTTTCAAAGGTAAAAAAGTGTGACCTTTAAAAACCCTCGTTTGTTTGTTAACAAACAACCGCATGCTCTTTGGACCGTGGCGAAGAATTATGGAATGCGTTTGTGCATAGTCTCTGGATGGCGAACCTTTTTTTTACGAGAAATGAAATAACCTGTACGACCTGCCATGTACCAGCAGGCCTTGATAACTTACATACGCTCTCCTCCGATGACTTTGTATTAGGTATAATACATTTGGCGTAAAATTCACACTACAAACTGCCGATTTGCAGACAAATCGAGGTCTCCGAACTGTTTGAAAGGGACAGGAAATACTGACGATCAGTCAAGCGAAGCTGATTTTTTCCCCCCTTGCTAGCCTGGGTAGGACGCAGTTGAAAAACCGAACGCCGCTTGTAAAAACTGCATTTTTTTCACCCAACCCCATTCTTTGGGATTCTTAGGAGCGCTATTATACCGATTGTAGCGGTTGTAGCCCGGGGTATATCAAGGCGATTGCTCGAGTGGAACCTAATGTCGAAAATGCCTGCTTGACAATAGTGAAGAGACACGCTCGTGCCTGCTGCCTGCGTTTTATTATTAATTGCCTTTTGCTGGCTGGTGAAATGCAGGCTGTTTCCCCTTCAAAACTTTCACAATTAGATGTTCGGTTGAGCATAGCGCTCCTGCTCTATTATGGGTTGAGGCTAGGGGTTGTCTTTGATATCTGCTAACGACATGGTCATTATGCATACGGCCTCGTGCCTAATAATGGCTCATGGCTAGTCATCGGGCTTCAGCCGGACTCGTGTGCGGCAGGTGGACCAACCCCCCTCCCCGCCTCCCACCCTTCCGTGGTCGGGCACACGACAGCCTTGGGGTTCTCTGTATAAATTTAAATTTTGGAACAAAAGCTTTTACAATTTCCCACACTGTTGATCTTCAACTCTCGCATATTTTCATTAAAATTGGCTTTGCGTCGAACCACTTATGATATAGCGGGTTTCGTTTAAAAAGTGGGATGTATTTTGATGTGAGCAATCAAGCATTATCAGCCTAATCTATCAAGCGTCCAAACAAATGGGCCAGTACCCGGACGTGACACACACAGCTGGGATGGAATTTTCAGATGAGTCGGTGCGTTTTTGGTTTTGTATATAAAAAATATGAGACTACGGCACTTGGACAAAAAAAAACCCAAAACCGCTGGCACCACAAAATGAAATTTACTTAACAGTTCTGAATTCACTTTGCATGCTTGTGTGTCCCATACATGTGTGTTCTTTAGTCGTTAGCCTCTGAAGAAGGTCTTGTTAAAAGACTGCAAAGTCAGGCCAGCTAATTTTGTTGATTAATTTAAACAGGTGAACTGAAATTATAAATGATTTTCAAGCACAAGTCATCTAGCTAAGAAGCAAGAGAACAACCAACATAATTTCATGTCCCGAGATGCGCATTAAGAGTTTTTAAGTGTAAAGACAAATTCAGCTAGCAACTGAAAGCTATACTTCTCAGACTCTTTAAGAGTGACATCCAAGCTTTCCTGCTGTGACAAACCATTTCCTTTCTGGTGTTAACCCTTTTGCTTAGAAAGTTTAATACTCTGGTCGGAGTTAATTCTCTCATTGTCGGAGGATTTAGGTGTGGGGCCATCAAGCTGGGCATACTGGAGAAACAAATACACAGTCAATGGGGTGGAAAGGTCCTCTGTTGTTTGGGTCCTATGGAAATCTACTGCTTTGCTTTCAGACATCACTGAGTAGTGACCGATTGTAAAAACGGCGATCTTGGAGACATGGCAAGCATGGAGACTTGGAGAGTGATCTTCTGTAGTCTTCCAGTCTTTTGTTGAGCAATTGTTGAGATGGTGAAGAAAAGCAAATGTTAAGATGGGCCTAGGACTTTCTGTGGTTGGGGTACATTTAGGTTTGATGGGGAAGCATGGTGTCTATTAGCCCAGTGGACTCCCTTCTCCCTACGTCAGTCGTAATGCCACAAAGACAATCGTCCAACCTGGGCGAGGTGTCTATCAAAGAACTTTCCCATCACTGTGTAAATTAAGTGCAATTAGTTTACACTTGCTTATCTTATGGACAAGATTTACCTTAACTTGACTTTAAAAATGACTTTCCAGGCACAAGATTTTAAATCTAAATCTCATAGCCGACTTCTAAAACCTGACACACCACTGAAAACAGCCGTGGCACAGTGGCAAACGGAATTCGCTTCCAAGATGCTATTCTCCCCCCCCCCCCCTGTTTGTAAGGACAATACTTACGTAAACTGGAACTTCAACATTGCATCTGCATAGTACAAACATTGATGCCCAAGATGATCTGAAATGATGCAATCAGAATCAAATTACCTGATAAAATTCCAATTGAATTGTAATCGAAACTGAGAAGTTAAAATGAGAAATCAGACACTCATCAGTCACTTCATGTAGCTACGAAGTCCAAATACTCTTAGATAATTAAAGCTTCAGGGCTACTATCAAGATATGCCACCTCCGGTTACAATCCAAGGCTTGCATGAGGTCTAATTAGTGAAGTCATATCTGGTAATGCTGATGGAATCCCCGCTATGTCCGGAGTTTCAGGTTTTGTCAATCAATGCTCCATGTATCATTTCAGGGGCGAATAAACGATAGTGTCTGGCTGAAGAATTCTGCACTTTGTTTTCTTAGTTTTTCCTGACCAGCTTCTTGTCTGGTAGGATATTCCAGGACTGTGTTGATAGGCACTCCCGCTCGAATATTAATTTTTAAATGGGGATGCGAGTCAGAACTTGACATTTTTTTTGCCTGAGATGTCCGTTTTATGCATTATGTACATTATTATTATCAGGGATGCATAAAGTGGGCTCAGACATTTTCCCTGAAATTTGAGGTATAAAGGAAACCTATACACATGCATGGTGCCAATATCTTAAGAAAAGCCTGACATTAGGCAATTGCAAGAGGACTTGCACCTTCGAGTATAGCTTTTTTTCCCCCACGTAAATACCACACGGATGCTCTGCTTCAATGCATCTATTTATTTTATTGACTCTTTTGTTTTAATTATTTCCACAACATCCAACAGCGTAAGCACCAGAATAGGATGGATAAGACTTGGTACAAGACATGGAAGGAAAGTACAGTTTTAGGGAGGGAGGAAAACCCCAGAATGATGTTCTAGGGAAAACCCACAGACTGAAAACCCAATCCGCATAATTGGCCCAGGCAGGAATCAAACCCGGTCACAGTGGTGGAAGGCGAGGAAAGTACCGCTATGCCAACCCGACTCCTCCATTTCAATTGACTAATAAGATTTTTCTACACGTATGACTTACCACTGTATGACTTACCACTGTACATCCATTTTGGATGCCAATATGTATCACCCAGACTAGGGGGTGAACAATTTGCATTCAGGTGCATTGCTTCCCTTGAAATTTCCTAATATATTCCTTTGGCCTATAGTCGGGGCTTACTTAACTTCCACTCACCTACATGTACCTGTTACAGTATATAGTAAGACATGAACCAAGTTCAAAGGAACAAGGTTACCACCTGTAACATTATCCCCATGTGAAATCTTATATACTAGTCTCCGCCCCCTGTCTGAGCAAAACTCTTCGAGGCACTTACTTGTTTCATTATTCAGGAAGTCATGGACCAACATGACCAAGTTTAAGGGAACAAGGTTACCACCTTTTTCATAGCCTTATCCTCAGGTATATAACCTTATCCTCAGGGTATATTCGAGGCACCTACACCTGTACTTGTTTCATTATTCAGGAAGTCATGGTCTAAGTTCAAGGGAACAAGGTTACCACCTTTGTAACCTGATCCCCGGGTGAAATCTTGTATACTAGTCTCCGACCCCTGTCTGAGCAAAACTCTTCGAGGTATCTACTTGTTTCATTATTCAGGAAGTCATGGACCAAGTGAACAAGGTTGCCCCCTTGGTAACCTCATCCCCAGGTGAAATCTTCTATACCAGTCCTCGACCCCTGGTTGAGCAAAACTTTTCACTTTTCGAGATACCTACTTGTTTCATTATTCAGGAATTCATGGACCAACATGATCAAGTCTAAGGGAACAAGGTTACCCCTTTCATAACCTTATCCTCAGGTAAAATCTGCTATACTACCTGTAGTCCCGACCCCTGGCTGAGCAAACTCTGTGAGGTGTGTAATATGTGCCCTGCTGTGACTGTGACCTGTGAAATGAAAATATGAAAACTACCGTAATTGCTGGTCTAAGCCCACTAGTTGTGCATGACATGTTCCGGGCTTTGTCCAAGCACAACCGCATTCACTGGCCCATACTGGGTTCTGTAATGTCATTATAAAGCCAAGCACAAGGGCTGGTATTCTGTAGCTACTCGTTAACCCGCAATAACAGGCGACCTGTTCATGACCTGTCTTGTTGTAATGTAATTCATTTTTGGCGGGAAAGTGTACCATCCTCACTTTTTTTCTTGGTGTAAACAAAGAAACCATGCGAAGTTTATGCAAAATGGATCAGAAAGAAATTTTTTTAACCAAATGCTCCACTGATGCTGAAATGGTCACGATTGTTTGTATTTTTAGAGCCATGACAGTAAGTAAAACCTACAGGAGATGAAGATAAATGTATGCCCCTAAAAGAATATCAATAAACAGTATAGGCCTATGTGCTTTCACGACTTATCAGTCTTGACGTGAATGTTTTCTTTGGTTCTTCTGACCCGACCAGAAGGCACTTTGATTGCGTTCCCTCATGGGGAAAGTTCAGAATTCGACTTTTAAATTGGCTTTTTGTATGGGGTTCACGTTCTGCTTGATTTAATGGAGTCCTAGAAAGGGTAGGGAATGGGAGCAAACCAAGACAAAAAGTGGGTGTGGAAGCAGGGATGTAGGCCATCACAAGTAAATCACAAGTCCAGTCACAAGTAAATCACAAGTCCAGTCCCAAGTAAATCACAAGTCCAGTCCCAAGTAAATCACAAGTCCAGTTCCAAGTAAATCACAAGTCCAGTCACAAGTCCAGTCACAAGTCCAGTCACAAGTCCAGTCACAAGTCCAGTCACAAGTCCAGTCACAAGTCCAGTCACAAGTCCAGTCACAAGTCCAGTCACAAATAAATCACAAATTCAATTTCAAGTAAATCACAATTCCAGTCACAAGTAACAGGGGGTAAATAACACCTTTGTAAAACTAAGTAGGGAGATTGGGTTAAAAAATGAAAGCAGTCAGTTTTGAATGTTTTGAAATATTAATGTGGTATATTTTGCTTACTTTGCTACAGTGGACTGACAGAGGATCCAGCGGATCGTTTGATACATCAGCTGTATTTCCAATGTTCTCGGGGACACGTCACGTGGAGTTTCCCCACCAGTGCTATTCGGATCACATTTAAAAAAGGCAACTCAGATGAGGACTTCTTAGCGTGCTTCAAAACCTCGGCCACCAGCAGTGGTGTGAACATCTACAAGGAAACGCACAATACATTGAAGTTACTCGTGGTGTTAAACAGTCTGGAATCACAGAGGGATTTTTACGAGGATGGACACGAGCATCGGACGGTTTCTTCCAATTCTGGGGCCAGTGAGGTCCATTGCTTTAGCTCTGAAAATGGCAGAGCGACTCTCTTTCTTGAGGCCAGTCCGGACAATTTAGGAATTGTTAAGCAAGTTGTGGATATACACTATATACTGGAACCATTACCAAGCAGTCAGCCACAGGACAATTTGGAAGGTAAGTTGATATTCTTTTTTAATCAAAGTGGACAGAGACAAGTGAAAAGTACTCTAGACTTGAACCGGCCAACTGACCCCGGCAAGCTCGGTGGTCGAGTGGTAAGACATCTGCACTAGTAAGCAGGCGGTTGTGGGTTCGAATTCGATCCACCCGAGTAAGCTTGTGAACTATTTCTCGCAAGCCCTTGGACAACACTGAGTAACCGTATTTATAAAGTACGTCGGCGAAGGGCAAAAACCAATAGAAACTTTACATCTCTCCCGATGCAAACTCCATCTTATGAAAAGTATTCTAATTGCGAGTTCGCAAATGACAACTTTTTCATCAAAATCATGACTCGTTATTTAAGCAACGGGTGATTATAGTGTTGAATAACGACTTAAAATAGTTTCACGCCCTTGATGGCATTTAGAGGAAATACCCCAAAACCACAAACAAGCACATGTACATGTAAATGCAGAAGTACATGTACGCCAAAGTGTACAACCGCATGCAGTATCAGCTTGTTGCAATGCTGTGCAGGCAGTCCACATCCACAAAAAAACTACAATTACTGTGCCAAATCCGGTAGGAATTTACTGGATTTTTCCCCCTTCTACCTTTCAAGCACAAGGAAAAAGTGCAGGTCTTTGTATGGGGAAGGTTTGTTTTGGAGCCGGCATGACACGGGTTGTATGGACTCGGGCAGCTGGACAATGGGTCAGGGTCAGGCCTGGAATAAAAAAAAGGTTACGCCACTAGGTGGTTGGCTTTGCATGGGATCTTATGGCACAGGTAACTTGGCTGTGAGCGGCACTCTAGGGTGTTGGCGAGCTATGTCGACTTTGAATGACTCAAGAACCCAGGGTTTGGGATAAACGCTGAGCTCTGAGGAGAGATTAAAATCCACGATAATATCCAAACGGGAGCCCGGTTTGTATAGGAAACCAGGGGGCCCTGAAAAAGGGTACTGGTCGAACAGCCAGGTGTCTTTCAGTGCCAAGTACATGAACATGTACTTAAATTTGTACTCTTTTTAAGGGAAATTTGTGTAAAAAGAATTAGGAACACAGAACAATTTTTTGGTCTTGAATTCCTCCTGGCAAAGATTTGGGGAGCCCCTACACGTAGGCCATTTCCCCCAATCACAGATCGTATTCTGTTTTAGAGCACCCTTCTCAAGACCTCATACATGTATATGTACATTGACAGATTAACAATGGCAATAAAATAGTTGTATAAAATGTGCATGGGATACACGATAAGAAACTGTAGAAAAAGTCGCGATCCTGGATTTGTTTTAATGGCAGTCGTAAAAGTGTCGCGAATCGGTCAATTTCAGCACTTTCCTCCATACATCACAAGTTCTTGGAATCTAATTCTAACGATATATGCAAGTTCAGGATTTGTTCAAGTAGCCCTTTGGGTTTTTGTTTTTTTGTTTTTTTAGGAAACCTTTCTGAATTCAATTCGGCAATGTAATGTAACCCAAAGACACATTCCCTCAACTTGAATAAGTGCCATAGGTTTTTATCTTATTCTGAGTACAAGTGGTTGGATTCTGGTACATTCCTGAATTTATCAAAACACTGTAAATGCTGTGTGTGAATTTTGATAGATTCAGAATACACATAGGTCGGGTTCATAATATGTACATTTTTATTCCTATTTCACATTTTGTTGTTTTTGGGGGGTTTTCAGGAAAGTTCACAGTGTAATTTTTAAAAAGTGAACAAAGAAATGGACTGGAGCAGGGTTTGAACCTGCGACCTCCGGATTGCCATTCCAGCACTTCACCAACTGTGCTATCCAGCCCTATGTTGGTGGTACTCCATTTTGTCATTATCTTTGTTCAAGGGGCACTAGCCAGAAGCCATAAACGTGTTTATACAAAATCTATATGCCATACATGTATAAAGCCCGGGATCATGCCCAAAGTCGCAATGCTAGCAACATTAGCAAAACTGCAAACCCGGTAAATAGCAAACGGGGATCACTCAAGAATATTACAAGTTTTCAAATATACCAAAATGGGAAACTTGATAATGATAAATGCATTGTGATAATTTTTTCTGAATGTTCATCAACAAGGCAAATGTTGTGGAATCATTCTTCAATTTTGCGTACCCTGTCAGAGCATGACAAAGGTCTGGGTTGTGGACATCAGGCCCGTCAACAAGGGGGGGGGGGGGGCAAGGTGGGGCTGCACCCCCCTCCCCCCCCACCCCAATCAGCAAACACCATACATGCACATGTGTTATTTGTGTATTTTTTTTAATGTACATGTAGTGTGCCCCTAGTTGGTACTTTATGGCCCCCTTGATGTTCGGAGCTGGCTATGGGGCTGTCCCACATGTGTTTTGGCCACAATCCATGAAATTTAATTGATATAATGTAGTTGCCTGGTTTGTGTACTCAGTGTGTATTTCCCATATTTGTTGACATGGGTACATACATATCACTCTTTTACAGTACTTGATTACATCATGGAGAAATGTGTTTTATTTCTCCATGATTACATGTACACGCACTTGTCACTACACCAGGTAGTACACCTGTCAGCTATGTACTTCAATACATCCATAATCCGTTGTGTATGTACCCCTTGGAAATCATATAAAAATAAGCCGAGTGCGGGGGTAACTAAACAAGCAGATTAAATACGAGTTTTGCAGGCAAAGGTTAAGGTATGCTATGTTGAAGAGGTTAGATCCTTTGTTGATCCGAGGATTTGTGTTCGAGTTGTTGGCTTGGTTGGTGGAGGTGGGTTCATTGCCAGTAAGCATGGGGCATTTCATGTTACACCTGTCATTAGAAATGTCATTTCTTCAGTGTTCTTGCTATGTACTCAGAGGGGGGTGTCTAAACATAAATATAAAAACTTCATCAATCCTGTTGATTACACTTGGTAAACAAAAGATGAGGTAAAAACGAAAAGTTTGTTAATTAATTAATGTTTAGAATAAATCACCATCAGTCTGAAGTACTCACATTTTAATATTTTTCACACAACATGGGGAGTTACGGTCAACTGTATTGAATGCTGTTTTGTTCAGCCATTCTATTTTAAATGGGCCCAATTTCTCAAGTTCTTTTTAAAGTGTCCCCCCCCCCCCAAAAAAAAAAAAAGTGGCATTGAAATTTTGTTTCATTTTGGAAACTTTATATAACAAAAAGTACCAGGGTTTTGGGGTTGAATTTATGTCCAATTCACATGATTATTCTTGAAAAGAAAATAAGTACGCCGTTTGCAAATTTCCCAGCAATTCAGTTTGTAATTAAGTCACAGGTTTTGATATCCTTTTATTTATAACTTTAAACTGAACTTTGTTTTCGCTTGGAGAAGTTTTAAGTAGACGGCTAAAAGTACCTTGCAAAGCTGCAGTAACTTTCAGCGTAGTAAACGTCGCTGAACCATCTGTTGGTTTTACCGATAATAACTAAGTGATCTGAAATCAGATTACACAAACAGTATACTTTAATGCTAAATACTAAGTAATCCCTCTAAATCTCCTAATCTGCTAAACTTCTTCTCTCTGTGCATTTGGCAATGTTGTGGAAATTTTGTAGGATAATCTGACTTTTTCTGAGCCAGGGGTTTAACTTGTTGATCAGATTAAAGCGATAGGGTCTGGTCTCTGTCCATAGCAATTCAGCTCTCTGCTTAGACTTGTAACTTAACAAATATGCTCAGTAACCTTCTGGAAATGCTGAACCTTCTCATACTGTAGGCTCGTGCGGAATTGCATTTTGAGAGTCTGCGGTATACCGCCACAAAAATATGGCGGGATTTGGCATTATAGGGTACTTTTTTTGGGTAGACTTACATGTATAATGTTATCAAACTACAAGAATGACTCACGCTATTAGGAAAATTGCAAATACCGTAGGCAGCATGGACAGAATTTTGAAATACCTTGCTGGATCCAAGCCTACAAGAGACGGCCCCAATGGGAGGAAATTATACAGACCATAGTAGGTCTAAAGAATGATCTTAGTACGGTATTTGAGAGTGGTCCCAATCTCAAGAACAATTGGGCTCTCAGCATATGGGCCTACATGTACATGTACAATGTACATGGTCTTGGCATGGCCCCATCAAACATTTTTAAAGGGCCATAACTTAAGTTTTGATGGTCTAAAAGAAGTTGCATTGGGGGAGTGTGGCCAAGTTGTTAGATTAGAGGGTCAGGGGGTTCGAATCCAGCTAATGGCCATATGTTGTGTCCTTGGGCAGGTCATTTAACCCTTACTTGACTCTCTCCTCCCAGGAGTATAAATGGGTATCAGCATTGGCTGGGGTTCCAGTAAGGATGGACTGGCATCCCATCCTGAAGGGAATAGAAATATTCTCAGTCACTTCATACCAGTACCAAGGAAATTGAGATAAATGCCAGCATGATGAGCTCTATTTGCTTGTGACAGACTTGCTCAAAAGAAGTTGCAGACCGGGGCAAATTTCACGACGCTGTTAAGCACAAAAATTTGATCAGTGCCAAAAAAGCCTGGCTTATAAAAGCAAGTTACCAGCCAAAACTCTATGTGATGTACATTGTATATTGCTCGTGAGTAGTATTCAGCTGTTGTTTGCTTAGCATGAAAATCACACGGAGTTTTGGCTGGTGAACTGCTTTTACAAGCCAGACTTTTTGGGGCTAAGCAAATGTTTGTGCTTAGAAGCGCCGTGAAATTGGGCCCAGGCCTTGGGCGACTGGTCAGCAACTTAATAGTCTGTCATGTGATTGATAACTCTTAATTCACCTGCTGCACTCCTGATTCACCAGTTACTTGTAATACAATGCATCTGTAGTTTCTGAACTGCAACCCCTGCCCTCTTCTTCCACTAATGAGCGACCATGGAATATGAAGCTGGAGGGGAGAAAAATCAATCCAGATGGATAGGGACGATCAATTTGGATTAATTATTGTGGTTTCCTGCTGAGTTCACCCAAACATGAACAAAACCGTCGGGACTGACGATTTTGCCAGATAATCAATGTGGAATGACAATTACCGATGAAAGTGATGAATTGCATTTGATTCCAACTGTGTTTTTGTTCATGGTCTGCAATTACCTGACTGCGTGGGTGAACTTCATTGTACATGAAGCTCCCCCCTCCCCCTCACTCTTGGACAAGTTCCACCTGAGAATAACCCATGTTTTCAGTTCCCTAATTTGCAAGAATGGAACACCAAAGAAGATAAAACGGGATAAAGTAGTTTAATCAATATAGCTTAAATGTAAGATTCCTTCCGGATTAATGTGCAAAAATGCTGAATTATTAAGTAGTATAAGCTTAATGTAAGTCCGCACACCAAAGGAATTTCTGGCGGAATTAAAAAAAAAAAAAGACTGAAAATATTTCTTTTTCTTTGCAGAGATCTTGGTTAGCAATTGATTAATACAGGATACGACTTTGTGGACTCTGTATCAACTTTCTTTTAATTAACCCTAACTCCCCAGCCTAATTTACTAGGAACCATACCCATTCTGGCAAATTCCAACACCCACATGGGAAATTGTACACACACACTGTTTGACTTAGTTTCTGGAGGTATGCCAACCCCAGTGTAAAAGACCATCTGTTTGGGGGAACTGTACCTATCCCAACAGATTTAAACACAAACCTGCTGTTGAACTTTGATGGGTTTTGTTCGGTTAGGGTTCATGTACTTTTGTGTATTCATATACAATACAAAATGTAGATGATTGAAGCTTGTAAGAAAAACTTGGTTTTCCTCACAATATGGTTCCTTCCGGGCTACAGAAATAATTGGATTTCACTGGTTATTAAACCAATATGTGTGACAAGCTTTTAATTTCTAGTTTAATAAAACTCACAGAAACATCTGCCATGCATATGTATAGTGTGTGCATGTGGCGGTGTGCAACAGCAGATGTATCCACAAAAGGTCCATTGTCATGTGTACAATAGTAATTCTTTTCAAGCATGCCTCAAAAATCAATTTGGATTTAATCCAGTCTTTCAACTGGTCTTTATCAAAGAAATACTGTTGGAACTCTGTGTATTGTTCCCAGACATGTATATGGCAGCTGTTGTGAAGGTAGGGGGTATACATATCACAACTATTTACATGTTCACAGGAAGTTGCTTAATTAAAATTAATGCAGGGCCCAATTTTTCAAGGTGCTGCTAATTGCTAAGCACACGACCTGCAAATAGCTGGGTTTTTTTCATGGAGATGCAAGCAGTAATTAAGCATAGCAAAAGGCATGCTCAGAGGAAAAAGGTTGCTTGAATTTGTAAAGTAACAATAGTAATCTCAATGTGCATGCAACCACATTCACGCCATGAAATTGTGCTTAGCTGGGGTTAGCACAATTTTCTGCTATTAACCCTAACCACCCCAACTCCATCAAAATCCGTCTCCCCATTTCAGTGGATTTTGGGGGACTTGGTCCAAGCCATTGTCCAAGACAAGAGGCCTGGCGTGACTAAATATTTGGACAGACATGAGCCGCTATACAAGATGCCATTATCATTATTATTATGAATCCTCCAAAACCGCCTGGAGGATTTGGAGGATTGAGGGTTAGAGTTAAAAATTGAATTTTTTCCCTTTTTACCGTCTACATCTGTGAAAAATTATTCTTGCTTGACTACCTACATGTATCTTTAGCCATGGAAAGATCCCATTTACTACATTCAAATAATGAATGTAATAACAATTTTCACAAATACTTTTATATCAAAGTGGAGGTGCAGTTTTGTTGGCTAAATTATCACTTGTTTGTCAAGTACATGTGCTTATGTCTCATTTCTAAAAGAATTTATAATCATTGTGGAAGCTACTTAAGTTTTTAAAAACTTCCAGTAAAGTAGTCATGCTGATGAGAACACATTTGAAGGTTCTGTTAACAAATAGGCATACCCTCAAACCACTAAGCGGACTTTACATTCTTTTACTTGCATTATTAAAAAAAAACATACAAAAAAAACCTTTGAAGGACTTCAATTTGAAGAAAGAAATATTCATCGATTTTATTGATGGATATGACCTCAAAAGGCAGTTATGAAGGGAACTGCATCGGAGCATGCAACTTTAGATGGGAGAAATCAGCAAAAAGTTAATTCAGGGTTATACTTATAATACAAGTAGCTTCACAGAATGACAACGAAAAGAAAGAGAACTTTCCACAGATAAGAGATGACTGAAGTGACTCAGTGTTTGTGTAGTACAAGTGCCTATTGTCCCGTTTTCTGTAAAAGTTTGTCAGTGGAAGATAATTGTGATTATGACACCGAGGTCAGCAGGTCAGGCACCCTGTGGAGCATTTGTGGCAATTTCTCTTTTGTCCCATGTTGATTAGCAGCTCTCAGACTTGGAAAAAGTGTCAAATCTGTCTGGCTTCCAACAAGAAAGCACCTTTAATTGGAGCGTCTGGTGCTTAAAAAAATGACGATAAATTTGGTGACTTCCCTTCACACCTTCTTCAATTCCTAGTATTGTTCCAATTTATGACATTCGCAACGCCCTCGGTGACCAGAAAATGCACAGCATTCAAATTATACTATCGGTATTTCTGACGGATTCTTACCCTGCTACACAATATGAGTCTGTAACAGATGCAAACACGCTAATAATTCAAAATATTGTTGATATACGTACGAACAAACAACAAGCACGTGGCCCGGGTTGACAATACGGTGACTTATATGCCCCCAAAGCCTCATAATTTTGACAATTTACGGCGTGGCTTAGGCTAAGAAATACCAAAGATTATACCAGTCTCATGCAATCCAGATGCTGTCAACTTGAGATCGTAAATCTTTTTTGACATCTTTTGCTGGTTATTTCTTTTGTGTTGGAAGACAAAAATTTGTAATATTTGCCATTATAGGCATCCAGATTAACTGCAAAATAATTTTGCACGTTCAATAGGTATACATGCATGTATTTGATACATACCGACACATTCTACAAGCCCGATACCTATACATTTTTGATGGCTCACAAAAATCAGACAAAAATCAATGTTCAGTGAAAGTTACTGATTAATATAAAATATACAACGTTTTATTACCAAAAGCAAACTTGCAATTTCAAACTCCCAAAATGAAAACGTCCTGATCATATCTGTCAACAAAATATCTCCCTCTTCGACCTACTCACAAACATGCATTTGGCATTGTCGTTCCACAACAAAATGCAACAAAATACATCTACATGTACTGTATATACCAGTATTTGGATGGCATTGGATTTCTTTAGAATGGTTCTTGTTGAAAGACAACAAAAATGATGCTAATGAACACAGCCCCATTTTAGGGTGGAAGTTAATCTACATTGGTGTGAAGATCTCAACATGTTACTAACTTTTGATCAAAAGTTAATCATTTCTGACTTTCTAATACAGTTTGGGACATCTGTCTGCAGCGTACAAATTCCCCATTTCAGTGACTACCTCTACACGTACAGAAAGAAAAACAAGTTGCAATTATCCAAAAAACAAAAACAAAAGCTTATTTTTGCCTTCTTTTTCTTTTCTTCCACAGATTGCAGACCCTGTAATGACAGTGAAATTGTGAGATCTTTCTGTTCGAGTGATTTCGGTAAGTTTCATTTGAAGGAACTACTTTGTGTTTATTCAGCTGCAAGTACAGGTGGGTCATTCCATGCCAACTCAACAAATGGTGCACACCATCACCTCTTGGATTTTTTTCTTTTTTGGTGTACTGAAAGATACTTAGGAGAAATGCAAATTCTGAAAATTTGGGGTCTCTACGACTTTTCGTTCTTGCGCAACAGCATTTTGAAATTTAAGGTGGGCGGGGCCAAAAGTGCATTGCGTCACGAAATTCAATGTTTAAAGGGCCATATATTTAAAACTATACCCCCCAGACATTTCAAACTTGGTTATCTGGGCTATTTTTTGCTGTAGATTTCAAATATTTAAACAGAAAGAAAGTAGCTTGTTTCATTTTTAAGTTAGAGGGGCCCCAAAATGGCCCAAAACTCATCTGGACCAATGTTCGGGGGGGTGTAAGTCAAAAATTGAAAATATTTTTTTCACCACATTTTTTGCCTGTAATAGCCCCCAGTTGAAACTACTTTCATGTAAAATCTTACACTTATATTAACTTCATTGAATGAGATATAGCCCTTGCAAAAAGCAAATTGTTTATTTTTACGATAACTTGACCCCCCCAAAAACCAATGTCAGACATTCCGCACCAAATTTTGCTTTACATATGTTTGAGGTTGGTCCTTGGTGAAGTCCTCTGAAAAGTTTCATGTTGGTGTCTAAATGTCTTCAGTGGATAGCTGGGCTTTATAATGAGTCTATATGCTGGTTCCGTAACATACAAGTACACGTACATAGAATAACAGCAGTCGGTACATAGAGAATAAGTTGGGTATGAAACTTAGCTTACATTTGTACATGTAGACAGTTGATATAATTGTTTACAGTTTCACAGGTGAAATTATGCATTCCTTGTGATGTAGTTTTGATGAAGTTGAATGAGTTGCGTGATGGTTGGCTCACTAAGTTTGTATTGCCTTCCACCGCTATGTAGAAGTTCTGGTGTTGGTACGCAACACAACACATCAACAAATGGAATGTTACATTTATCCTCTCTTTGTGGCCAATAGAGAGTATTTGTTGATTCCGTCCTGTACATGAAGCGGACATACACATCCTCATGAAGTTGTGATACATCTTCTACAATAGCAATGTACCAAACATCATCATAGACCTGCACACAAACATATTTTCCTGGGTTGAGGTCAGCTGCTACAATTGGTGCATGATGAGTTTGAGCATACATGCAACTCCTTGGATGAACTGGGTTTCCCCTTATCCATAATGAAAACTAAGATCAATCAGGTTAAAACCATAGACCCTCTACTCAAACTGAATCACTTCTCTTTGGTTCAGGTTAGTGCTATACTATGCTGTGCAAGTGAGAACTGGTTAATTACTACATACATGACATGCATGCTGTGTGATGAGCACATGGAAAGAATAAGACTCTCAAGTCATTTAACCTAATTTGCATATATTGCACACGTAGGTCTACAAACAACTGTTTATTGAGCAGGAAATGGGTAGTCTTGACCCAAGTCTTTCAACAGTCAGGGGATTTTGTTGTGCTGGTTCCGTAAAATACAAGTACATGTACATGTACATGTATGTTACGGAACCTGCAGCATCATAAGATATAGACTCTTTATAAAGCCCAGCTATCCACTGAAGACATTTAGACACCAACATGAAACTTTTCAGAGGACTTCACCAAGGACCAACCTCAAACATATGTGAAGCAAAATTTGGTGCGGAATGTCTGACGTTGGTTTTTGGGGGGGGTCAAGTTATCGTAAAAATAAACAATTTGCTTTTTGCAAGGGCTATATCTCATTCAATGAAGTTAATATAAGTGTAAGATTTTACATGAAAGTAGTTTCAATTGGGGGCTATTACAGGCAAAAATTTTGGTGAAAAAAATATTTTCAATTTTTGACTTACACCCCCCGAACATTGGTCCAGATGAGTTTTGGGCCATTTTGGGGCCCCTCTAACTTAAAAATGAAACAAGCTACTTTCTTTCTGTTTAAATATTTGAAATCTACAGCAAAAAATAGCCCAGATAACCAAGTTTGAAATGTCTGGGGGGTATAGTTTTAAATATATGGCCCTTTAAACATTGAATTTCGTGATGCAACGCGCTTTTGGCCCCGCCCACCTCAAATTTCAAAATGCTGTTGCGCAAGAACAAAAAGTCGTAGAGACCCGAAATTTTCAGAATTTGCATTTCTCCTAAGTATCTTTCAGTACACCAAAAAAGAAAAAAATCCAAGAGGTGATGGTGTGCACCATTTGTTGAGTTGGCATGGAATGACCCAGATGCAAATTGTTCCATTTCTTTACTGAAAGGAAACAAAGTCATGTCCATTGGGTCAGCTCTGAATTGATCAAATTTCCAAAAGTTACAAAGTTCATCGGAAGCACTGGAAATTTTCAATGGTATCATGGAGTGATGTACATATTAGATTTTTATTCCAAGCAGCGCTTGTTAGTGCCCTGTTACTGTAAGACCACTATCCCCTTGCTGCCTGTAATATTGACCTGTGACCCTAATCAAAGACCATGGTTTGAAAGTTTAATCCAATAATCCATTTGCATGGTCACAGTTTCAAAAAGTATGGAACCAAAAACCCAGTCTACCCCGGGGGCGAACAGACTTGATTGGTGTAATTTTTCCCTTTTGAGTTATAAAACTGGTCAAATTATGTTTTTACAGTGTATGGTAACTTTCTTCACGAGTGCAACAGTCCGTAACTTGTCTGTTTATAAGGCACAGCTTGTGCCCAGCTGTAAAAACTAGAGGGTGGTTTATTTTCAACATGATGTGGTAACAACTGGCTTCAATTTGATTTTACTACTTTTGGAGGGTTACCTGAACTGTTTCATTATTTGGGTCAAAATTTTTAAATTTTTTTTTTAAAGTAGCTACATTGTAGTTGATGTATACACTGTAACTCCCTAGGCCTTTGTGCTAGGATGTAGCCTCAATCCTGCCAAATCCTCCAATTGGCCTCATGGGAAAATATCATATAGCCTCAATCCTGCAAATTCCTCCATTATTTCTTGAACATGGTCCGTGGAGGTGTGACCACTGCCTGAATCCTGCAAAATCCTGCGGCAGTGACTGTCAATATGTTCAGGCTTGGCCAGTGACATCCTGGAGCAGTACGTAGGATTTCAAGCATAATCCAGGTCTACATTTATGCATGGCTGAGCAAAAACAACACAAGGTCCGGCCCAAGACCTTGACAAAGTGCATCCTACGAAATCAGTAACGCACTTTTGCCATGTAAACTCAATCCTCCGAATTCCTCCACTTTGGCAAAGAGGATTTTGAAGGATTCAGGGCGGTTTGGGTTTTAAAGGAAGTCAGTCATGGATCAACACAAAGGCAACAGAAAATGCTTCTATTCAAAAAAATTTCAAATCAATTAGAATATGAAAATTATATCGATATTTCAATTTTTTCCCCCGTAGCTGTCAAGTCCAGTATGCGGGATGTTATGCACGACAGTATTTCTCAAACGGCCTACATCGACTTGTCTATCAGCCACGTCTTCAGGCAGCGAGATCACATCTTCTCGCCGGCTTCCCACAGCCGTTACTCCGGGGTGGTGGTCAAGCCCCTCAGGTGTGGGGTCAGGTGGGGCGAGGGACACTTCTTAATGATGGGGAGCCTGGTGCTGGGCCAGCCAAGGCTGGGCTGCTCGCCGCGGTACTCCCAGGCCAGGAGAATAGCCAAGGAGTTCACCGCTAAGGGACTCAATGAGTGCGACCTCGGAGAAATCATCCAGTTGCATCACGACAACAGACACTGATGGACCACTCCGTACATTTTTCAGACTTTGGACTGAAACGATTCCTGGCCAACATTTTGTTGGAGAGGACAATTTGTGGAAAGCCGTCTGTTGGGAAAAAAACTGGATGAGGAACATGTCAACCTAAAAGTTGAGGAACATGTCAACCTAAAAGTTGAGGAAAATGTCAACCTTGAAGCAAACGCCAGGAGTCTTAACCGAATACCTGAAACTCGCAATTTATCATTCCTGGTACCAATGTGATGTGTAGAATGTGAAATTTTTTGACATGATGATAGGGGTCATTCTGTAAATTTGGGGTCCAAAAATATGAAATTATTGTGTGTCCCTGCTACACCTGACCTGTGTAATTTGCCATGCAAGTATCATTAAAATTGACTTCAAAACTACTTTTCATTTGTTTAGCAGGTACTATACATAATCACTCTCTGATAGAAGGCATTGAAGAATGTATCCTGAAGCTACAAAATCAAATGTAACAGGCACTCGGAAAAAAATAAAATTTAGATCCCAAATTTATAGCATGACCCATTAGCAAATTTCTACAAAAAAATATTTTTGAGTCCTGAAAGATCAATCAAGTAGGCTACCGGTACGTTTAACTTTAAAGTACACTACACTCAATTATACATAGACGTACAATGTAGACATGTAACCTGCATACAGTACACACATATACCTCACTGTACATGTATTAAAAACATAGTTATTTTTGTTAATAGGTAACGGTGCTATTTATCAATAGCTGAGCTAAACTGTCTTTAAAAAATCAAGGATAACAAATTCAGTATTCGCCGAGTAAGTCTTTTGCTTTTCTTCACTCAAATATTTGATGGCTTGCACATACAATGTAATTTGTTTTTGTGTTTTCAATGAGGATTCATTGGTGGATCCAGCATTTACGGAAAGGAGGGGGGGGGGGTGCCGAAAATGGAGGAAAAACCCGAACAAGTGGGCCAGGCTTTTGCTCATGTGGGTGAACATTTCTGTCTTTGAAGTGATTAAGATGATCCAATGACAGCAGAAGAAACAGAAAAAATACAAGACATACCGGGCACAAAAAAAAAATCAGAAATCTGTGAAAAAAATAGGGGGGGGGGCTATGCCCCCTCTGGATCTGCTACTGGGGATTACAAATGCTTTTGTTCACATTAGTAATTTTCCATGCATTTCATTATTCAACTATTACTGACACGTACAAAAATTTGTCGACAGATAAATATTGAAATGATTTCACATAACTAATAAATGGGTTATCCTCACTCTACTACATGTAAACAAACTCTACTGATGTAAATACATGTAATTTAAGAAAGTAAATAATTTATCTACAAATAAGCTGTAGATATGTACATGGAACCAGTTTTGGGGTAATTTATTGTGATTCATTATTATTATTTTTTTTCAAAACACTTGTAAAGAAAGCAGCTTAACACCAAATATTTTTTTGGAATATTTTATTGGTAGCGGATGGAAGGAAGAAGCTTTACCCTACAGTTGAGGCTGGATTTTTTTTTTTAATTTCTGATCAAAATCTATAAACGCTAATGACTTCATTGTTAACTTCTAACATGTAAACCTATCTTTACATGTACACTGGACAAATATAATTTAAATATTTTGACCAAAAAATATTCTTGATGCACTACAATTTTTTGTGAAGAAAAAAATCATGGCAGATCTTATCTTATGAGAAAAAACTGCATTCATTAATATGGATCTCTGGAAACTTTAACCAAATTCTAGCAAAAAAGGGAGATTTTCATGACCATACTTTATATTCATACTCCTGTTTCAACCTAAAAAACCTTGCACTGAGGTATCCGTTTCTGTTGTGAAGACTTGGAATAAACTCGGTCTGCAAGTTACTCCGACTCAACTGTAGCAGTACTACAAGCATATTGTATTCACCATAGATGATTGTATAAAATCTTATATACATGTACTTTTTATTGTTTAATTTTGCACTAATTTTGCCACTTCCTTGACCTTTGACCTTAATTTTCCTAATATAACTGTGTTTTTTTTGTTGTAAATCCGGTATGTCGGCGAGTCCGATGTATGTATCTTGATTCTTGAAAATTAACCCTCTGAATAACATGACTGTTTTTACATATGATGTAATGTTGGTGACGGCACCATGGACACAAAAATCCATTTCAAGTGTCATGAAGCTCACAGTCACATAAACGGTTGAAAAACACAGGATTAACATTACATGAACAAGTTCCTGTTCTGTGGTTAGGTATTTATTTACAGAAGACTCTCATTAAAACAATACTTTCACATCGCTTTGTTCTAATTCTTTTACAACTTCCCCCACAACTTCCCTCAACTTGTTTGTTTTAAAATCTGCTACATTTTCCCTTTTGTTGTAGCAAATCAAAAGTACAGTTATTTCTGTTATGTAACTTCCTTTTAGTGAATACAATGAGAATTTTCATTGTAAAGACTTTACTGAGTGAGTTTTCTCAGTTTTAAAACATTAACGATTGACAAAAGACTGTCAAAATTTAGAACTTTCAAGCTAATAAGTAATGTGTCATAATGTATGTATGTATCATACCACTGACTGTGACATGTACTTGCTGTGGAAAATGTAGTCTTGTGGTCTTTTTTTTTCTTGTTTGCCAAGTATGTGAATACAATTGAATGTTATTCTCTGTATGCCAAAAAAGAGTATAATAATATGTGCTGCAATAAAACTATAATGATGTTACTCAAGTTTTGTTTCTGGTATGCATTAAATGAACTGGTTAGTTCCCCTCGATCACTGATATTTTTAATAGAAGTATGCATAGCATACATGTATGTTCACTGATTTGACAGTGGAGTACTCGGGCAAACCGTAGGAATCTCAGATTTCAAAAGGGATCCTGACAAAATATCCAGCAATCAGGAAACATTTTGACAAAAATATCCTAAATGAGGAAAAATCCTGCAAAATATCCTGAAATCAGGGGAAAAACCCTGACAATAAAATCCTGAAAAAAGGAAAAATCATGACAACAAATGCTGAAAATAGGAAAAATCTTGACCAAAATCATGAAATCAGAAAAATCCTGACAAAGGTCACCCCAAGTATATTTTGCCTTTAAGATTTACATAGTTATCTGTTTGCTTGAAATTGCCTTCAGGTTAGGTTTTGAACATTCTTCTTTGGATTTGAGTGGTGTTATTAGTGGAAACGAACAAAATGCATGAATTATCATATAGGCTATATGCCTTGAAACAGCTGGATATAAAAAAACCTTGCATTTTCGGAGATTACCCAGCATGCAAGCCTTCAGCAGCTTATCTGGAGGGCAGTCCCGGCCCTCTCCGGACCTGTTGCAACCTTTCTTCAAAGGTTGGGTTTCAAGGAAAGAATGTCACGACTGAATTGGCACGGTGTGAAGTGATTAGCCCACCAGTGAACTAGCTGACAGCCAACTTTTCAGGGTATACACATGCCCCTGCTGGTAGCTGGAAAGGTCAACCTTGTTTGGCTCTTTATTTTGGGAACCTTGTGGGGTTAGAGTGTTGGTCTACCACCAATTTTTATGCCCATGTGTCTGTCTGCATTTGGTACACTATAAACACCTCTACTGAGACAATCATGGAAGTATGGTAAAATTGTAAGTCATAAGAGTGTTAGAATCAAAATATGAAACTATCATGTCGTGGATTTAGAAATTGGAAATGTAACATGACAATGTCAGTATAAGATGAGTGAAAATACATCAGCAGGCCTGCCAACTCTCACGAGATGAGACTCGCGCATTTCGGGTTATTCTCACGCACTCACACCCACACGGGATTTCTCCCCCTAAAAAACAATATAATAATAAATGACTCCAAACTCTAAATTGATGTTTTATATGATGATCTTTTGCTCATAAAAATTGGTCACAGTGGTCAGAAATTGCCTCTGATGGAACCACAGAGCATCTAGAATCCAAAAGTTTTCGGGACCCTTAAGTGGGCCCCGAACACCACGCAGTTAAGGCTTTGCGCTATGCGTTCTGATCAAGCTCCATCACCTAATTCTCACTCTCAGCTCTCTCTCAAAGTTGGCAGCCCTAGCCTGCATCAGTGTTTTTGCATCAAAATATGAAATATTTAAGTCGTCAATTTAGAACTTGAAAAAATGTTACATGGCTAGTTGAGGATACAATCAGTGGAAAAAAGTGCATTGATTTCTTCTTCCCACTGAATTTAGCTGTTCCTTCCTCCATGCAAGGACTAAGTTCAGGTTTCAACAACAACCACAAATGATTACTGCATTATGTTGACTTTTTTTTTAGTCATGTTGTACAAGTAGTGGAGGGTGAAGTTTCCTGTCATTGTTGGTTGCAACACTTTGATTAAACAAGGAAGCCGGAGGGAATGTGCGTGTAAAACAAACACGCATGCGATTGGGAATAATGAGGAAACGACAGTCGGAGTGAAAATATCGAGATCCTTCTCCTGTTATTGCACGAACATGTGACTGACGTAAACCAAACAACTGTGGAAGTAATGTAAGCACCGACAGGATGAACGTCATGATGCTACATCATGTTACACTGAAACATGTGGCTTGGTAGAAATTCCCTGCCTTAATTACCCAACCTGTGTGAAATGCATACTCGACATAGTATGTGTACATGGTTACCCAATCTTAACACATAAAGGATGTTGTTTTTCTCTGTCGTGATGGCATAAAGGAGGAAGTTATAAGGTACATGTAACCCTGATATTTTAAAGTTGGGTCCTCCGTCCTCTTCAACAAATCTTTGTTACTGTTAATGAATGTTCAACTTGTATGTTTCATTCCAAAAAAAAAAAAAATTCTTTTTTTTGGGGGGGGGGGGGGACTTCTGCAAACCCTCTATATTACCTCTGAAAAAAATCTTTTTGTTTTGGGCGCAAACAGATCCCCTTTGCAAGCAGACTGGCTACCGGAATTGTTGTCTCGCAGCCAATAATTCAAAATTGTAAAGTAATAATTCAATAAACTTAACATGGGCGATTAGTTTTTGGTCGATGTCTCATTCAAAAGTGAATAACTTTTGTGTTGCCAGAATAATAGCAATTCAGAAAAGGAATCCATTTTTTTGGGATGAAACTCGGAAAAGGGGGGGGGGGAGATTGGGGGGATTCAGGCTACTTTGACAAATTGTGCTGCAGTTCTAGCTTTTTAAAAAATGTAGGCGAATTAAGGGTGGATTTGAAAAGAAAGTTGGGAAAGGTTAAGAGGGAATATCATTACAAACCTTTTCAAAGAAATTTTTCGTTTCCAAATATTCATAAGATTATGAATAGTTTGGTCGCGGTACCTGTGCTGCTATATCAGATTTGAATCAGCAAGCCGACCCTGGCAAGCTCGGTGGTCGAGTGGTAAAACGTCCCCACTAGCAAACAGGAGGTCTTGGGTTCGAGTCCCACCCGAGTAGTAGGTGAATTTTTTTTTTCACAATCACTCGAGACAACAATTAATATATTGTTTATAAATTACGTCAGTGAAGGGCAAAACCATATACTGAATTGTCCAAATACACATATATTTTCACAGAGTAATGCATGACTCAGCTCTGTTTTTGTCGAGTCTTCTCGAGCTATGCCATCTAGTTATTCTATGGGTTTGTGTAGGGGGTTGTGTTCATGGATCACTGCTCCGAAATATTTTTAGCTGTGGGATAGCAGCTCAAAAAATCAGCATGCCACTCCGTTAGTGAGTTAGTTAGTTGGTAACAAACGTTGACATTGTCAATTGTTTCTTCTTATCTTGACCGATTTCAACCAAACTTTGTCAATCAGTAGCCCAGCCTCAACATGTCTCATGACCAAACTGGGGTCAAAGTTCATCATGGGGTCACTGAGGTCAAAAACCAGATTTTTAAAACTCAAAACACTACTCCTTCCAGAAATTACAAGGCACAATCACGTGACTCATGCAGGAACACGAATTCGCTGGCCCACAGCTTCCGAGATATTTCCGATCGAGCTTGTTTTTTTTTAAGGAAGTCTCAATTCTTTCAAATAAGAGCATTGAGCCAGGAAAAGCTGGCTGCATGGTAAAAGATACCAACACTTCTCTCATCCACTTGGATTGACCCTCCATTAGCACAAGAGGGCATGACAGGTGATTCCAACACCAGAATAACAAGATTGTTCTTTCTTTTGCCTGTGGCTTCCTGTGCTTTCCTGTGCCAGACACACCACACACATGCTTGCTTAGACTGTGAAGCAAACATGTTGTGATTTGTGCGTGCAGGGGGAAAATGACGCTTTGTTTATAAACCAAACTTTGGATTGGAAGCAGGGGATGGCTGAAAACCCTGGGCAAATCTTGGCGGGGATCACGGCAAGCCTTTCCATCACTGTGGTTTGACAGCTTAGAAACAATGTAAAAACCCCGGGAGACATTATAGAATCTGTTTATCCAAAGAAAAAAAGTCCTTTAAGAAATAATGTGACTGAACATTACCACATGGACTTCACTTGAGACGTCACACTGTGGCAGGCAAACAAAAGACATTACTGAGACTCTATATAAATAAACAAATGTAAACAACGATGCTCGCCGTAGATAAATGAAGTACAGAACTATTTTTAGTTTCAAAATGGGAATTTAAAGACCATCATCTTTCTAAGGGAAGGGCTAAGATTATATTATAGGTCCGTGATAGGTTCCAATAAAATTTGGTAGAACAGCTTCGGGTCAGGGGTGGATCTAGCTTTTAGGGGGAGGAGGGTGGTTGTTGATATAAAAGAGGGGGGGAGGTGTTGATATAAAAGTGGGGGAGGGGGGTGTGGATATAAAAGTGTGTGGGGGGGGGGGCTGAGTGAAGGCACGCTTTGCTAGGGGGGTTCAGGGCCTTGCCCCGGTACAATTAGAATTCTATCATGCTTTCTCCTGCATTCTAAGGCAATTTGAGAATAAAGTTAGGAACTTTAGCATTCCATTGATTATTTTTGACCCCATTTTACTAGTTCTTAACATCAGCCTGCGGGGAAGGGTTTGCGACCCCCCTCCCCCAACCCCCTCTCTAGACCCGCTACTGCACACACGTTCAATTATGCCTCGGCCCTTGTGACGCACTACAAATTCCAACTATGCATATAAATGGGCGCATGTATAATTGACGTATACCTTGGTCTATGATTCCTACAGTCAAAGCATTTTTTTTCAGTGACATGTTGACTCTAGTTGGGGCAAGCAGACAAATAATTTTTATCTTGGTCAAATATTGTGCATGTCAGATAGCAGTTTGTTATCAGTCAGAATGGTAAAGCACGCCATATCAAGGGTCACTGGTGATTTAAAAAGGGAAGAGAAGGCATTCCAATGCAACTATTCGGGCCCCATGTTTACGACAGACTTAAATAAACAATGGCTGCGTGCCAGGGTATCTAATTTATTTACACTACGGCAGGACCATCCTTAGCCCTGGCCTGCATGCGAACTTGGGGTGACAGTTGGGGTATCTTGACGCAATCTCTTACAAGACACATCATTGTCTCTCCAAGACTGTTTATTTCCAAAACAAAGAAGTTGGACAGGGTTGATCCCCCCAGGCAGATACTCATGGAAGTTTTTATCTTTGCGCTTGTTTAGTTGTTTTTGATCTGCAGCTTTTGATGTGTCTCTTGATATTCTTGTTTTTGAATTTTTTTGCAAGATCCCTTTCAAGGATTCATGCTTGTGTCTTATGATCGGTTTTGTTTATTTCACTAGTAAACGTATTGTTTATGAGTAATGGCAGAATTCCTTAAGGTGATACTGAGGTATTTCACAGGAATGAATTAAACTTTCATCAAATCCAGATCTAACTTGATCGTTTGTTCTTGGGGACAAGACACAAAAAAGACATTTATCGCCTTTACAATGGGAACATTTCAAGGCGCACCAATGCAAAGACAAGTCTACATAAAGTTTCGGGTCTTTGGTTACATTACGATTATGGCTTGCTCATGTGTACACATGGTTTTGTGTACATTGGTAGTTTTATGTACAAGTATGGGGCACTACACATTTCACAGAACCGCGGTTTGAATTATTTGACAACTCCTAAAGCTTCCTGTGGTGAGCAGTGAGACTCTTTCAAGCCGAATAAAGCCGGCATTTTTTTGGGCAAACCTGCATTTTTTAAACTTGGCCTCCAAACACAAATCGTACAAACAGAGAGGGGAAAGTGTTAGAATCAGCGGGACAAAGACGGCGGATTCTATGGCCGTTTTCAAATGAGGAAACCCCGGGGCGATGGGGACCCCAGCTCACAAATGAAGGCTTGCAAGTTGCCCCGCGGGGATCCCTTCATTATTTACACATTACACAACAATGGTTTGGGCACACAGGCAAAATTTCTATACGTCGAAGGTATTCACTGGCTCCTGTACAAATGTTGCAATTATCCAAGGAAAAAAAAAAAGTGTGCGCTCGATCTACGTGCTGGAATTTGCATTACTTTGTATACGGTATTTTATCTCTGTGTCAAGATATTGTTCTTTTTGGCACTAAGTCAAATCGCGGTTGAATATTAACTAAGGGTCAATGAGACGTACATGTGGGGTATTTCATCCAACATGAGACCTAGTCATCTTGCACGATGAAAAGATGGCCTATATGTAAACCGATCGATTGGATATGCTTCATGTGAATATGTAGACCCTCAATATAATCACAGCCCAAGTATGCGCAGTTTAACAACGTATCTAAAAATGCTGCATTTGGGAACTAATGACTGCTAATTAAACCGTATCTTGGGTGAATAGAGAGGGTGGGACTTGGAGCAAATGTGATCTTGTTTGATTATAAAACTTCAAGTTATAGTTTATGACCTGGTTAGTTACAAACTTGTGGTTTACAGCTAGTTAGAGGGTTGGAGCAGATTCAATCTTGTTAGTTATAAACTTCAAGTGACGGTTTATGACCTGGTTAGTTACAAACTTGTGGTTTACAGCTAGTTAGAGGGTTGGAGCAGATGTGATCTTGTTGGTTATAAACTTTAAGTTGTGGTTTATGACCTGGTTAGTTACAAACTTGTGGTTTACAGCTAGTTAGAGGGTTGGAGCAGATTCAATCTTGTTAGTTATAAACTTCAAGTGACGGTTTATGACCTGGTTAGTTACAAATTTGTGGTTTACAGCTAGTTAGAGGGTTGGAGCAGATGTGATCTTGTTGGTTATAAACTTTAAGTTGTGGTTTATGACCTGGTTAGTTACAAACTTGTGGTTTACAGCTAGTTAGAGGATTGGAGCAGATGTGATCTTGTTGGTTATAAACCTCAAGTTGTTGTTTATGACCTGGTTAGTAACAAACTTGTGGTTTACAGCAAGTTAGAGGGTTGGAGCAGATGTTATCTTGTTGGTTATAAACTTTAAGTTGTGGTTTATGACCTGGTCAATTACAAATTTGTGGTTTACAGCTAGTTAGAGGGTTGCAGCAGATTCAATCTTGTTGGTTATAAACTTCAAGTTGTGGTTTATGACCTGGTTACTTAAGAACTTGTGGTTTACAGCTAGTTAGGGCCTACAGTACACTTTACTTAAATACACGTTCTACCCCTCTAGTAAACTTTCATAATTCTTCTAGTCATAGCATGGAGCTGTAACAAAGGAAGTTACCGTAATACATCGACAAGCGTTTCAAAACAAGTTCACCCAAGCACCTTTAAAAGTCAACATCCCCAATACAAGAAAGAAATCATCTGGCACCAAGCCAACAGATAACATGTATACAGGTAACGATGGAACAGGAGGGTGTACAATTATGGGCACCAATACTTTTACATTGCAAGCCATAAGCTTGTGGTATGCAGGTTTTTCACAAGCACAAGTTTTTCCAAGGCCTGTACAGATCCTTTGCTTGTAGGATTGGCATGCCAGCAGACTACCTCTATGCATTTACTGTTACTTAGCAAACAAAACAACTCAAGATGGCTACCGAATACAAACAGTCTATTACAACTTCCCAAGTTGAATATGAAGTGGGACCATGGACCTAAAACATTTAATAGCTCCATGGTGGTATACTGATATTCATCATTTCTATCAACTTCATTAACAAATAGTTTCCCAAGATATCTGTGGCTTCTTGGCAAGCAAATTATGTGAAAAGCCAAAAATAAGATCTACTTCACCAACATTCAGTCTCCCAGAATCTCAATGGCTGGATCACACATGCATCGGATAACCCTTGGTTTTGATGGCTAGTCATGAGATGCTGGGAGTATAATGGTGACCAGTGTTGAAGTTGAACCTGTCACACTTCCTCACAAGTCCTCACAAGTCCATCACATGCACAAGTCCTCCAGTCTCATCCCCTAATACTTGCGACTGGAAATGTGAAACGACTTGTGATCTATGTGTGAATTGACATGTGACAGACTTGTGATAATGAACTGGACTACACTGATGGAGACACGCCCAGAAAGAGGTGGCCCAACCCATCCACCCAATCTGCATGCAGAGTGCAGGCAGCTAACTGTGACTGGGTGACAAAAGCATTCCTCATTTGTTATTATTCATCACCTTGCGATTGGACTTGTGAAAGGACTGATGGAGACACGCCCGAAAAAGAGGCGGCGGCCCAAACCACGCCCTCCTCAACCCATTCTGCATGCAGAGTGCACAGGCTAGACTCAACATTACCTTGTGAGGCAGCTGATGTTCAGTGACTGTGTGTGATCTGTGTAACTCATTATCAACAACAAAGTTGTTGAGGTCGGAGGTGGCGACATGGCTCCAAGTTATGAAGGTGGTAGATGTGGCATGGGATGATGGTGAAGAAGTGCCGGCATCACCTGCTCCAGGTCTTCATCCACTTGCTTGGTCTCCTTGTGCTAAAGACTACTGAAATCATGAAAAACGCAGACTCGGTGACACTTGTTAAATGTCAAGCGTCCTCCAGTGATTTTCAAAACAATTTGGCAGGCAAAAGTGATTTCATTTGAAGATACCTTCCTGCTCAACAAATCAAAAAATGAAAAAGTGTATTTTGGACAAAAACAAAATATACTTTACCTCCATTGTTGACGAATAAAGTCCTTTCAAGTTGAAGACAGAGAGATGATGACACAGATGCTTGTTTCCTTTCTGATGATAATCTTTTACTAAAAAACAAGAACGAAGAAAAGAAAAACCAAGTATGAAAACCTACTCATGTGGGAGTTATAAGTTTGAGCCAAAAAGATTTTGAGGCTAAATTCCATCTGCACTTCCCATAAAGAAATGATCACTTCGCCTTTTAGATAATTTTCGTTATTCTGGAACCGTCTCCTTAAGGCATACAGGATCATTCGCATTTGTCCCGAAAGAAATCCATTAAATTATTAGCCTACTTGGATTAAAGATCATACTGGTACTAAAAATTACTCCGTCTGGCTTGCTGACATTAAGCAATGTAGGTGATTTCCAACGATCAGTCAGATGACTGATCCAAAGGTTGCCCTTTTTTATCAAAAAGTGAAATATCCACAGATCGAGCTGAACCTTTAACAGATTAGCTTTTTAAGGTTCTTCTTGGGGTTTTAAGTGGTTGTTATTATTGGTAATTAACCAAATCTGAAAAGCAAATGATCCTCTAAGCAAGTAGCAACAGTAGTCAGGGTAAAACAGATTTCGTTTTCACAATTTATCAGAACCATCCATGTCTTTCCCCCTTTAATTTGCTGCCATCACAAATAACCAAAAGACATAATTTATTTTCGCTTCAAAAGCACATACTTTCTGAAAAAACAATTTGATGCACATCTACTCAGCAGAAAAGGGCACATTATTTCCCCTGTTTAGTAGAACAAGCTACTTTTCCATAAAATGCATCAATTGATGGCATCCTTTGGGGAAAAGCTTGGTACTTGATATGAAGTTGATGAGAGAGATGTCTGGCTTGTGTTCCTGATGGCAAGAGGAAAAGCACATGGTTTCTCAAGGCCTTTGCTCTTCCAGGGTAAACTGATAGGGATAAATTGACCATTAAATGAAGCATTTGGAATCAATTTCTTGTGGGGTCTGCAAGGTCAAACTAAGTGAGAGAGAGAGAAAATACTTCACTGAGTTCACTCTCAAACTTAGAATTGAAATCAACCACCTTCTGGTGTAGAAAGAGAGGATCTTTTGTTGTATACACTAATAAATGTTGGTGTTTATTAATTTCAAATTTATCCTTGCATACTTCTTCTCATTCTTGACAAGGCCAAATCAAAACAAGATACGAATCAAGACGAAATCATTTACAAATTTCTCACAGCTAATCCAGGTAGTTTTTGTCCCTTCTGATCACAGCATGTACAATGTGCACTACATGGCTCGTATCATTTCTCAATGGCCACACTGTTTTGAACAAACAAAAGGGACACAGTTTGTTGTGCAGGGGAAACCTTGGGTTGTCAGAACTTGGCAGGCAGATCTGCTTTGGATGTGAATGTTGACAGTTCATTACAGCTTCAAGGTTTACCAGACAAATGCCACCATTCCTAACATTTCTCTCAGGGCCCTGGGATTGTTTCTTTACAATAAAATGAGCTTAAAGTCTAACAACATGGCCTATAATGGATTAGGGACAAGGATTTCTTATTGGGAGAGGGTGCAAAGTTTGTGGAGAGGGTACAGGTCGTAGTGGCACTCTTTAACTTGAGGTCAAGCACTGACTTGCAATTGTGATAGTGTCGATCCAATTGGTTAGACACCTATCCAATGGGTTCGGCCAGATTGTGCCAGGATCACAAAAGGCAGAAACCTGAAGGATTGTGGGCCCCGGGGTCAAGTACTCTGTCCTTGCCATGGAAACAAACACCTGTGCTCCCCCGCAGTCTGACCTACCTGTTCTGGCGGGTTGCAGACTGCTGGCAAGTTACAGTGGAGGGGTTGAGACCTACTGATCGGAAATCCTGATGTTTGCTCTGTCTTGTTTGGCTGGCTGGTTGCAATGAATGATCTCTTGGAAAGCCTGTGGGTGTATTACAAGTACAGCAAACAGAAGAAAAAAAAGATTGAACAGGAAGTCGTAGATAGATCATTTCTGGATCCTTAGATAATGAGAAAATCCAGCCAATTTGTATGGTTCCACTGGCTTAACTGTTTTTCAAAGATGTGGTTGTTATAAATGAGTTTGTTTGGACAGAGCCAGGATTGTTCTGTCGCAGAGAGTGCATCATCGGATCAAGGAGAAAATCTTGGAAGGATGTTACATATGAGAGGACCTGACACTGGCTTAAGCATTACAAAGTTTTGGTTAAAAAAATAGCAGTTTGTAGCAACAAAGCCAGGTTTCATCACAGACTGACTCATATGGAGTTGGAGCATATCACTTACGCCAGATGGGACATATAAACCTGTACTTCTAAGTGGAAAACAAATAAAGGAATTGTTTTCCCTTTGAGCTCAGCAAAAATCATCCTGATCCCATCTCTTAAGCAACCCAACCCACTCACAACTAAAAAAACAAAAAAAGGGAACTTTTTTACTCAGCTCGAAGGAATTTCATACACAACATATAGCAGTTTCAAAGAAAGGCTGTACGTTTTATGACATGCACATGTAGTTCTTTTCTTGCCTTCCCTTTCTGATGACCTGTTTAAAGGTATAGTCCATCATTTGTAATTTGTGCATTACGTCGTTTGAAGCAAGTGCTCAAATTCTAAAGAAGGGTGCTTAACAGCTAACCTGCTGAAGTTTCATCTCAGCTTCAGCTGTATATTTCGAGAAAAACAACATTCTAGGATCTCGATTTCAAATCAAATGTTGCTAAGTCATGTTTTGAATTGGGCCTGAATTCAGCGCCCCGAGACACATTCTCACTGAGCCGAATGCAGCAACGCGATGTCGCGCACTGATCCGAGGAATTATAGCAACCGCGTGCGCGTGTGCGTCGTGCCAACGCTTGCACGCACTTCGCCTATTGAAAAAAAAAAAAAATACTAACGGACATTTCCAACAGCGCTTCTTAAGACACACCGTTGGAAAGGCCTTTTCTTGTTGATTTCTTCAAAATGACAGCTTGCCAGAAAGAATAATTTCACAGGGAGTTTAGTCCCCTCACTATCTTTCAACCAAGTATGTTTTTCAACAATAAATACGCCAGTTATTTTTTGGATAGCTGCAAATGATGGACTCTGGCTTTAAATCTATATTCCAAGGGCCTCTGTGTATTGGGATTTTAGTCCATAATTGAACGCACGGTTTTACCAAGAATACTGCCCTCTATGGGTTTGCTCCAACTTCTGACAACTGGCATTCACCCTTGTCGCCTCTTAATTAAAACATGAGACGTGTGGGGAGGCAACGATGACAGGTTTGGGCCCAATTTCATGGCTCTATTTACTGCTAGTTAACAATCATCCCCACTCACTGTAGAAGAAAATTCTGTGCTTACGGTTAGCAATATTTCACAGGTTTAGTGAGGAGTTTTGGCTTATACGCATGCGTACATCCTGTGTTAACAGGGTTAGCGCAGAATTGTATTGCTAACACTGTAAGCACAGAATGGCGATCGTAAGCGGGAATTCTGTGGTTAGCAGAAACGTGAACTTATCCACAGGTTGGACAGGATTAATGTTTAACAGGATTTACTCCTTGCTATTAGCTTAACTGATTTGGATATAGACATATTTTTAATGAGGAATATAACTAGGTTTTAATTTATTATAAGATGGAATAGGTTTTAATTAAGTATACATTTTTATCATGTACTAATTGCTCTTGGCCTCTTGTATCCATACAAGTAACCTATTACTGATGTGCTTAGTAACTTTGAACTTTACTTTATTGACTGCTGGTCCGTCAGTCAGTTGGTTGGTTTTCTCTTTGGTTGGTTTGCTGGTTGTTGGTCAGTCGTTTGGTTGGTTTGATGTTGTGGTGGTCAGTCTGTCTCTTTTTTAGTCACTGTTCCTGTAAATCTGTGTGATTTTTGTGAGATCCCTGAATGTTTTTAACCCTTATTATTAATGTTTAACCTTATAAGTTGTTTTTGTAATTCTGTTTAATTTTTAATGTTTTAATTTTAATTTGTTTTTAACTCGATTGTACTGCGCCTTGGATGATTTGGATATATGGCGCTATATAAATGCTATTATTATAAATCATCTGTCCATGATCAGTGGCAAGTTTGTTGCATTAAAAACAACAGGCACAATAATTTATCACAAAGTTGTGAATCATTGCTGGGTACATTTCTTATTGCTGAGAGTGCACAAAGTGCACAGTGAAATAAATCACCAAATTAGGAGGGAAAGTGAGTTCACCTTTCAGGAAAACCCCTCCTAGAAGTGTAAGTATTTGGCAGCTCTCCAGATCCTTGTTATTTGGAAATTCAAGGATGCCATTGGCATCTGGTATTCTGGCCGGCTTTTGTCGTAAACACATCTCCACTTGCTGGTTTTGGTCTAGCAGTTTGCAAATCGAATGAATCTGAACACAGCAGAAAACGAAACATGGGAAAAAGATCAAAATGGATTAAAGTTGTTTTTAAAATACTGCACATATGTTAACATGTGAAGTACAAAACCACATAGTCCCAGTTACATGGAGCACAATGGTCCAATGGTTACGGTGTTTGACTCATGTGCCGTGGTATGCTGGTTCGAACCCTGATGGGGAACACAGTGCTTGTGTTCTTGGGCAAGACACTTCACTACAATTGCTTTTCTCCACCCAGGAGTAGAAATGGGTACCTGTGAAGGCTAAGAACAGATTGTGTTGATCTTGAGCTGCTGCCAAAAAAAAATGGCTCTATGGCCTGATAAACAGGGGTAAAACCTTTGGTACAAAGCACTTATAAGCACCACATTATCATTATCATTATCTAACTTATTATGTATAGAGGGTAGGAGTTGAACGCATTAGGCAAAAAAAAATATATATTTCTGCTTCCGATTACATGGCATTTGAAGATAGGGTAGGTAGGTAGGGAAAAGTTTTTTCTTTGAATTTTTTTTGTGCTTGATCATATGGAAGCATCGGCGTGTAATCAAGGGTACAAGGTAAAAATTGATGGTTTTGGATTTTTTTTCCTCATTTTTCCCATAAAAAAAATTAGGGTAGGGGCTGTCAGAATAGGGTAGGTTGGGAAACCGGAAGCAGAACTAAGTCTATCTTTTTTTTGGCCTTACTTACAACCACTGATGAGGACCTCATCTTGCTGCAATCCATTTTCCTGAAGCTGAGCAGGATAAAAGGATCACCAATTTTGCCAACCTTCGAAAAAGTAAATAAAAATTACAAATTATTGGGAAAGTTTATTCAAATTTAAATATATACCGGGGTATGTTGATCAACATTTATGCTAACTACATTACACTGATACACGCTTGTAATAAGAAGAAAATTTTAAAGTTTATTTATCAAAAATATCTTAATAAGAGCTGAAATTCAATGACCTGTATAAATTTAACTTCCAAGGGAAATTTAATTTATTTCCTGAAAATCTAAGACAAAAAAGGTGTCTTAAGTTCCTCCCCCCCCAACTAATTTTTTTGGCTGGGGGGGGGGGGGATGGCCCCCGTCCCCCCCCCCCCCCCCTGCATCAACCATTGAATGCTTTGAAAGACAAAGAATCTGTAAACAAATTCCCAGGTTAACATAAGTTCAATGTATTTTTAGAAGAGGGATTCGTGAAATTGTAGTAGGATGAGTAGGATCTTTTAATAGGGGTGTTCTGAGAATTATCGTCATCTAGAGTCCTCCGTGTTTAAGCATTTCCACAAGCCTACTGGTAATGCCATCAAACTCGGAAGTACGTGCAGCACATGATTGATGTCACTAACAAACCACTGTGGAATAGGATGCTAAACCAACATTTTTTAGTATAAATGTGATGTCTGATTTTTAATGGGGTACACTCAAGGGTCAGATGATCTGCTTTTAAATGGGTTATCTGTAGGAACCAGCAAGCGATAAGAAACAGGAGGCCCAGGGGTGATACATGTAGATATTATCTCTTCAGCTTTTGTGTACTGTACAAAATGTACATGGATAGTATATCTGTCATAGTTGCATATTATGGGCCCCATAATGGCCTCCCTTCTTGGAAGTATCATAGAGGGATTTGAATATTGAAAGTACGAACAAATCCATGCTATCTGCAACTGCAAATACCCCCTCCATCTTTCTAGAAAACCCAATTGTGCTATTTGAAAGTTGGAGCTATTCCTTGTTTTCAAGTGCTGTGGCCTCGTGGTCAAGGGCACTGATTCGTGGTCTGTGGGTAAAGCTGCAGGCTGTGGGTTCGAGTCCTGGCGGGGTCATGGTGCGTGTGCCCTTGGGCAAGGCACTTTGTCACTCATTGCTTCTCTCCACCCAGGAGTAAATGGGTACCTGTAAGGGCAGAGATGGTTATTGTGATTGAATTAGCTTCCTTGCGCCAGCTGTATACTCCCCAGGGAGCTGAGATGGTATTTGGAATGTTTCATGGGCCCAATGAGCAGGGGTAATAATGATGTACCGGTAGCACCGTGAGCCCCAGTACCTGGTGGATATGGCGCTTGATAAATATCCACTATCATTATTATTTTCAATTCAACAGTAGTTGAAGTTAATAGCATTTTCAATGGTTCACTTAAACTGTTCACAGAAAAGTACTATGATTGATTAACGTACTAGTGTGGCACAGTTAAATTTTGTCCCGACCATTCATCTCACAGGTACAACAGTAAACAGAACTCAAATCCCGATGAAATACCCCAAAGGATCCACAAAAAAGTTGTGATATTAGTTTTCCGTCAAGTAATTACAACATGTTAAGATACACTGCATGTTCAGTATAGAGCAAGTGCTGTAATATGGGCTCCGTGCGCAAGAACCCCCTCAATGGGAAGGAAGGGAGAGTTGGGGGAGACCACTGGAAAAGACATTCGAACGCATCACCGACGACGCTTGAAGCTCGCACGAAGACGCTATGGAATTTGTGCACGTTCCGAATAAAAATCAGTCTCGCATACTTCGAACTACACGCGTGCAAACCAGTACGCGCTGGCAGTGGTAGTGTGTTCCCTCCACTGGTTCTCGAAAGTGGTCAAAAAAGCAACTTCTAGTGTTCGCAAACTGAATCCATGGATAGTGCTTTTCTGGTTTTGACTTTTGTTGCTTCAGGCACTGCACGTGTCTAAGACATCAAGCCCTGTGCTCTTGTCTGAGCTGCTCAAGCTGGGGAACTCTTGACGATATGCTATTACACTCTGCCCTTAGCTAGAGTCCAACACTGTGCTGAACACAAGCAAACAGGCTTTCCAGGGGGTGCTGGTGGTGGACGGCCATCTGTGTATCCTTCATGATCAAAACACTCCCCCCTGGAGAATCAAGAAGCGTTTACTTTCAGACAGAAATGTTGGACTGGGGCATTGAGATTTTGTGACAATAACACCAGGGGAGAAACCAGTGGTGAAAGATGTACACATTACTGCATGCAGTTTGGCTTCTACACAACAAATGAAATCACCACTGTGTTTTATTCATATTCAAGTTGGAGACGTACATTGTATACTTGTTTTTTGAGAGGCAGATTATATACAGCCTGTCTCCAAAAAAAAAATGGTACAATCAGAAAAAAAATTGGTTAAATATGAAATTTCAAAATAAGTCATTCTTACTTGGCATAATATTAAAGAACAAAGACTGGGCTTTCCAATAGTGTTTGTTTGATCTTATTTGCTTTTGTCAATTCAGAGATATAATCAATTTAGTGCGATACACCAAAATCGATTTTGTGCCACTTTTATGCATGGGCAGAGTTGTTTCGAGTACTGTGCCATGCTGTCTTGAAGCTCACAAAAGATTGCAACTTGGCAAAAGAAACAAACTCGATTTTTGTGTTCCGCAGTAATCTGGAGTTATCTCTGGATTGACAAAAGCAAATGAGATGGAACAAAAAGTATTGGAAAGCCTGGTCTTTTTTCTTAATGTGAAGATCAAAACGACTTACTTATGTTGAGATTTAATATTGAAAAAAAAAATCGTTTTCGATTGTACCATTTTTTTTTTAGACAGGCTGCACTTACATCTGTAATTGATAAGTTTTCTTTTCTTCGGTATACAGTTTGCAGTTTCTACATTCATTATAAATGCAAAACAGATGGCTGGTCATTGTTTTCGAACTTCCATATAACCGACTGTAACAAGATAATTAATAAGTGTTAACTGGTACATGTATGTCACACAGACTCACAGAGGTCACACAAATAGCTTGCCTTTTTCAAAAGAAATGATTCTTGAAATATCAACTGTACACTAGGAAAGTCAACTCGAACCTCAAAAACTCACCTCAAAAAGTCAACTTGACTCTCAAAAAGTCAACTCAGATCTCAAAACTCTAAAAGTTAACACAGAACTCCAAAATTTAACTCAATTAAAAACTCAAAAAGTCAAAGACAAGAAACCCTTACAATTTATCAAATCCATCTCTGTACATCTGCCACAGCAACACTTTGGAACATACATTTTAACTTTGGAACTTTGTAAAGAAAAAAAGCTGGCCAAAAACTGAATCAAAACCTGCACCTTTAATTGTTACTCTAGATAACAGAGTGTCAGAGTTGTCAAAAACTACTGTAATACAATGCGATATATACAACGCAATGATGAAGATATGAGTGTAGGATAGCTGAAACCAGAGAAGATTACTGCAAAAAGAGCTCCTTTGGACCAAGGGCATCATTTCAATTTAATATTCAACTATTCAGGCATGCAACTGTACATTCACAAAAAAAGAGGAAATTCCAAAATTCAGAAGACTTTGTACAGTGTTTTTCTATTTTGAATGACAGAAATGGGAATAAAAAATGAGGAAATCAGCTGATCCGGGGAAAAGTTGCATGCCTGACTATTAAACTGTCCATTGCATACTTTTTGTACATTGTATGCACAAAACACAACGCATATGAAAAGTCCATTGTAAAAACGTTAATTAAGCATTTATTTTTTGGCACTTAAAAGGGAACAGAACAAGCAAGTAGGCCTTTCTAAATTAGTTAGTATTTGAGATTTTTATTTCAGACTTAAGATCAAAAATTGTTTTGAATTATGATCCTGATCCTTTACAAGCAAAACAGCAGGAAACTTCATGCCCTCGACAAAAAAAAAGCATGTTTGTTTTAGAGATGATGTTTCTTGGTTTTTTTACAACAAAGAGAGGCATTTTAAGAACTTGACTGTCATTTGGGATTCTCTGCTGTTCTGTTAAAAATGAGAACCTTCTCGGTTATCATTGGATTGCAGTGATGGCACGGCTGCGTTTTGAACTTCGGGGTCAAGCTGACTGGCACGTTGGTTGTTTCTTGTGCAAATCCGCGAAAAGAACTGCCGAGCTCGAGTGAACCAACTCAGGAGGATCTGTTGGCACGGCAACAGTCTCTTCCGTAGCATGGCTTTGCTAGCAGCGCGGACGACGCCGTTTCTGCAAAAGTACACAACGATGTTGCAGAGGCCGCTACAAAACGAAACAACTAAAAAAGTGTTCAGTAAAAAAGCTACGTTATTAGCGTACATGTACGTAGCCACCAATTTAGCCAGGACGAAAGGGGTGCAGGTCACGGCAAAGACTAGAGTCATCACACGGGTTGTCTTGGAGGCCTTTTGCGCTTGGTTCTGCAGAGCAAGGCGTTGCTGGTTGTCATGGTTACCGTCTCCATTAGCATCTCCATTAGCAACCACTCCAATCTGAGCTGCATGATGTCGGGCTAATGTTGATAGCCGGATGTATATCACTACAGTTACAATCAGTGGGAGGATGACAAGAACAATCAGATCCAACCAATGTAGAGCATTAGCCAGGTTCAGTTGAAACACACACACCTTAACGTTGTCGATGTTGTAGGTATTCGAGCCCTTCATGTTGTCGACGTTGGAGGTTTTCCAGTCCACCGCGCTAGCATAAATGAGTGATGAAACAAGTGATAGAATCCAAAGTGCCGCTACCCCAATGTAAACTCGTTTCACCGTGACGATATTGTGGTAACGCAAGGCCCTAGTCACGGCAATGTACCGATCGAAATTGAGGGCCAACAGCGACGTCACTTTTACGACTTGAATTATCTGTAAAAGAAACGCCTGGAATCTACAAGCATCTGAGTTTTGCCTTCCCGAGTCTGAAATTTCAAAAAGGTACACCAGAAACATGGGCAACACACAGATGAGGCCATTCAGTAAGTCAGCCAAGCTCAACGACGTCATGAGAACCTGTGGGGCTTCATTGATGATGGACCTCACTTTCCACAGGACGATGATACAAAACGTGTTGCTTACGATGATGGCAACCATTAATACACACAAGACTATAGTGAACAACGCTTCAAAGAACTCCATGATTTCAAAAAAACTGGTTGAATATAAAGAAGTTAAATCTCTTCCCAATTGACTTGTTACTGCAGTGCACAGATCTGACACTAAACCTCCTCAGTACATGTTGTCAGACACAAAGTGAAAAGCAGGGATCTGATGTTTGCCATCCACTATATAAAACTGTGCTCCTTTTTTTAGGGGGAGGTTCACTTCACTAATTACTGATTACAAACAGACAGCCTTGATTAAAATTGATGGACTGACATACATACTCTGCCACATGTTAATGTTTAAACCCCATTAGGCCAAAAAAAATAATAAGTCGGTCTCTGGTCAGCGCGCCTGTCGATTTTAATCCTACACGTCAATCTTTTTTTTTTTCCCAAAATGCTCCGCGGTAGCTCCAACAGCGCCCTCTATTGCCGCACCTCCTCAACTTTTTTTTACCAAAGAGCACCAAGGAATGGGAAATTGCACCAAGGCAAATGATCGCTAGCACCAAGGCAAATTATGGAGGACACCAATGTACACGAGGACACCAAAAAAGCAAAAAAATATCCCACCTTGTCTGTACAATCCAAGATTGAAGAAAAAAAAAAGAAGCCCCCCCCCCAAAAAAAAGCCACGTCCCTGCGTCAATTCCGGAACTTTGGCTTTACTTAGACATGTATGCAAGATAAAAGGAATTCCATATTACAAGAAAAGCTGTGCACACTATAAATTGGCTTAAAATATAAAAAAAATTGACAAATAGATAAATGATAAATATGAAAGAATATGGGTTATTACTTTTTTCTCTAATAAAAACAAAAATAACTGCTAATGAAAATTCTTCCGTTTCTTATCTTTTAAAAAATTTAAGGTACTTGGGGGCAATCAACGTGTACGTAATATATTTCTGGTTCTGTTCATTAAAGCAGCACCGACAATGGACAATCAAACTAAACAACTGGGCCTAGTTGTGCACGTTATGGACAGCTGCTCAAGAAAAATCACTTTAAAATGCTGAACCTGAATCGTGTCTCTTTAATCTCTCGGGCAATAACGATCCAGGAAGGCTAGGTTCTAATTAGTCTCATCTTGACAGAGCACTCAGTCTCTGACAAAAGCCATTTGTTAGATTAACGATGTGCTCGTTATCTGTTCAGCTAGAAAAATTACTGTGGACAGTTCTAATTTATTAGGGCTGAAGGACTCAGTTTTTTAAAGCTTTTAGTAAAGGCTACGTGTATTAGGCAAAAAGAAAAAATAATTTGCTTCCGATTACATGGTTTTTAAAAATAGGATAGGTAGGTAGGTCATTTTTTTCTTTTTTGGCAAATTTTTTTGTGTACGAACTTATGGAGGTGTTTGTGTGTAGTCGAGGGTAAAAGGTAGTAATTGATGATTTTCGGGGTTATTTTCTCATTTTTCCAAAAAAAAATACTCCGTAGGTAGGGGCTGTCAAAATAGGGTAGGAAAAGCAACCAGAATCAGAACTAGTATTGTTATTTTTTTTGTGGCTTTAGTTAGGTTGCATTTCATTTTATGCAATTTTTTTTACAAAACACAAGCTTAAAACCCTAACTCCCTACGGTGGGTGAAACATCATAATAAAATTGGACGATTCCTTACTGTTAGGGTTAAGAATTTATTTATTTTCGAGAGATTGGGAAGTGGTGGAATATTCTTTGGCTTGTGTTTTGAGTTGCGGAAAATGAAAAACAAGAGCTAATTGTTGCATCGAGGCAACAAATCTGCCATTTTTAGGAATTTGTATAAAAGACAATAAGATTCAATCAAAGTATCTTGCCAACCCCCCCCCCCCCCCCCAAAAAAAAAACCCCAGACCTATCAAACTTGACACATTTCATATGCATTTTCCAACTGTTTCAGTGTGGTCAGATTGTTTCTGTGGAGCTAGCTATAGCTGAACTTGTGAGGGCGCTATTTCTTTTTATCATAAACTTGAGAGTGAGATAAAGGAGAATGCTCATAATCAGTTTCCCTAAAACCACAATGGGCCAAAACAAAATGCTTCCAAAATGCTTCCACCAGGCAATGTACCCTTTACATCTAAATATTCAGTCAGGCAGTGACAGAATTGAAAGTGAAACTTGTCTCAACAGAGCATGCAAACTGACCAAAGGAAAAAAGAGACATTTTGCAAGAATATCACACGACTTCTAACATGTCTTTCAGCAACTTGTCACAAGTTACTTATGTACTGTGCGTCAGGTATCTTGCTCAAATTTTTGAAATTAATTTAAAAATGACCAAACAATTTATCTGACATATTGATATATGAATACTCCTTGATAGTATACATAGACCAAAACAAAAATGAAGACAAAATTAATAAGTAGTTTTTAGAAATAACATGAAGCATTTCACTACACATTAATTTGAAAATGTTGTCACTATCAGTATCACAAAATATCAAAACCTCAATTCTCAAATGGATCAATTCCAAATATGTAAGCACTGAGATGTAGATAGGACAAATACGGATCCTGCTGTATCAGGTGTAAGTTAAGTGTATCGCTGTATTAATATTTCCATGGGGGGGGGGGTGAAATACAATTATCAGAAGGAGGATTGTAAACTGTTTAAGGGAACGAATTTCGGGGTCCACTTTTGCGACCCCATAAATTCGAGCTGTTTGGATGCTAGTTGTGATTTCATTCGTGAAGTGTTCGTCTTTTGCGGACGTTGAAGAAACCACTATTTTTGCATTGGTGATTGGTCACCGCTGTTCCGGAGACACACAACAGACACACAACGTATATATCGTACACTGAGAACGACTCGAAAAACGTATTTGAGCTCCGTCGTTTCCGATGTAAACAAGCGGGTTTTTTTTGTCTTTTCTCGGGAACGGTAAGACATTAGGTTTGTTTCCTTCCAACCAGATGTTTGAAATAGGCCAAGTAAACAATCCAAAACATGAAATTTTCGAGGATTTCAGGACCTTGTGCCCCTTTAAGTTTAATGAGAAGACTAGGCCTATAAGGCAGAGGTAGTTGGGCTAGGCAGAAGTCTGCTTACAATGTTCCATATAAATGACTGCAAGTGCACATGCAACTTGTTTTTGTGCAGAGCTTCAAATCATTTTGTAAAAAAACGAACAGAACAAAACATATTGCTAGTTTTATGCTACAACGTGTACCTTTAAAAAATAAAATACACGTAGGGGACGATGATACGACCTGTGAATGACACGACCCTGTCAGCATGGTCAGGATTTTCTGACGTTTTTGGTAAGTTTTTCTTATCATGACTTGAAGTTTGGGTGGAGTAGCTTTGTATAGTTCCAATAGGCTAGATACAGGTTGTACATGGGGATGTCTATTGATGTGTAGTATGCCTTTAGTCTAACTAAACTATCTAAAGTTTAGATAGGCTAGTTTAGTTATTTTAAATATTAACGAGTATCTCTACAGAAATTCCTGACAAAAAACTTTATCTAAGACTAACGACTAAAGTATAGACCCTAAAAACACAAAATAAATGATGAAACACTTACTTGAAAGCTTGATATCTCAAAAACATATTGGGAAGTTCGTCGAATAACTTCTTTTCGCAGTTTGCAAGATTTCTAGAGAGTCTTGCTCACTGGCGACAGTCTTAACGTTAGTACTGACACTGACAGTGCAGTAAAATGCACGCCGCGCTAGCGCTTTGCATGCTATGCATGCTGGTTTCGGACGGACAAGTTTGGACTTGTCCGCGACATGTGGCGTTGGCCTGGTAGACAAATGACATAAAATAGAATGGTGCCTAACCTTTGGTATGCGGGCGTAACCTTGGTATGCGGGCGTAATAGCAGCACATGACGTGGATACTAGATCCACAAAACTGTCGTCTGCTAAACGGTGAATTACAACAGCGCCCTCTAACGGTACAATGCGTAAAAACGTGGGAACTTTTGACCAATCCGAAGGCGTAATCAAGAAGTGGAACAAATCGGTTTGTCAATCAGTAGGGCGCCTCCACGAGATAGACAGCAGCGCAAAGCCAGCATGCTCGCTCTATATCTTTAGCATAAAATGTTGGTTGTTAAAGATCGAAATAAATACTCTAGTTGAGTGACGGGAGAGTTTGAAATCAATAAACAGGTAGGCTAATTCCAAGAGCTGTGCATAACTGACGTAAATTAATAAATCTCCGAGGTACCAACAAGGTTTGGATAGGTTTGACAAACTTTCGAGCAATCCGAAGTGTAAATTAGAGTTGATGTACAACAATGCTTCATCTAAACTTGTCCTAAATTGTTAACAATGAAATGACAGTGGCGGAACCAAGTTGATAAAAAAAAATGCAAACAGACAACGAGAAATATACAACAGTCCCTCTGTTCGTAAAGAAATCCACATTGATCCACCGCTATTAGACCATTTAATTATATAGCCCACGCGAGCGCTTGTTTTCCAACAACATTAATATCCGTCGGCCTTCAAGCTAGTCAGTTGACATTAACCGGTCTATATTTCGCCGGTGTGGGATCAGTTCTGATCGATTCGAGATGTCAACATGATATAGCAAATTATAGCATGTCAAGTCTATACCTGTTGTATGGAACAGTTCAGCCGTGAACGGCCGGGCCGACAGTGACTGTGAACAGGCGATCGCCAGTGATTACAATCAGAGCGAAGCAGATGTATATAGTGACGGCCCTGGCCTAGGGGAACTACATGCTCCGTTGAATTGAACTCCCCGCGGTAAAAAGGGTGCGCTTTGGTGTGGTGTGGCCTTACTGCGTCTGAGGATATCGCGCACTACTTGGTTTTGGACCCGGTATACGGCAGTTGCTTCTCAGTGAGATGGAAGGCTAGGAATGTACGAGTGTCTCAAGTGATGTCACTTTCTGCGTTATTTGCTGAATTTTGATAAGGTAAGATGAATTTCTAGTTTGATCCTTGATTTGTATGGCAAAGCATGTCTGGCTCTTTAGGGTATGGGAAACGTAATATGCGTTAAGCAAGACCCTCGCAGTATGCCTATATGGTACATCCAACAGGGGATCGCTTTGGTTGGCCTATACGGGGCTGTTGAAAAGGTAAACAGCGTGACCAGATTATTCCGCGCACGTGCAAAATGCAAATACGTGGTGTGTTTTTTTGCCCGAACAGGTCAGTTTTCAACTGGCATATAGTATGCCTTTTTTACGTGAGGGTTTTGCCGAAACGGAGTTCACTCGGCAAATTGAAGTAGTTGGTTCTGACTCTTGATAAGAGGTAAAGGCGTACTTTATTGTCGTATAGAACAGCGGAGCTTTCACGGGCTTGTAATTTAGCAAAAATTGGATTTTTTTTTCTCGTACCTATGTGTTTGATATCCCAGATTGAATGTTGTTCATTTTTGAGGGGAAAACAAAATATGTTCACATTAAGGCCTATACTCATTTTATACAATCACCTGGAAATAAAGTGCTTCGGCAATATACGTACATAAATAATTTCCCGCAGACCACGATTGAGTTGAATGCTCCAGACAACGAGGCCGCGGCACTCTCCACGTCCACTTAGGCCGTTTAATTACGAATTCGAAGATGCGACTCTCCCCCTTTGTTTTTCGCCTAGTACCCCTGATGTCTAATAGCCACTCAGAGCAGCGACAGTTGGTCGATAACTCTCGACCTATACGGAGTGTATAGTGACACGCCTTCGGCTTATAACTTCCTCATCATGCTGTTTGATATTACCGATCGATGTCTGTAATCTTTCGGTTGTTAGGGAGACCATGGGGAGACCGTCGCCACTGGATATAGGCCCCCTACGGATTGATCGTTATCTGGTAGTTTCCCCGGCCCCGCCAAGTTCGATGCCCTTTCACATCCCATCCCCTGAAATTCAAGACGGCCGCTTTCGAAACCTCAACGATCGTACATCCGTTAATACCGGACTCGTCCGGAGAATGTCCCTCTTTCCCCCATCAACGGTGACGGCTAATTGCCTTGAAACTCTCATTGCATTGTTTTGATGGTTTCCCATGCTCAACCAAAATAGCACCTTTTCATATACCGAAGGTTTTATAGTGAGCTTCACGTTTACAGTGTTGTTACCCCTGCATGTTCGTCGGGCAATTTTTCTTCTGTAGTAGCTCGAGATCAATGCAATCTGGAATCTTTAGGTACCCATTTATTTACTCCTCGACGAAGAGAAGCAATCGTAGTAAAGCATCTTGCCCAAAGACACAAATACCGTGCAATCGTGACAACTTAAGGGTTTCGTTAAAACGGCTTTATTATTAACAGGCTAGCTTCAGTTACTTCAGTTCCAATGCTCATCAGGAATTCGACATACGGAGCTGGAGCTAAAACTATGTTGTAGATCCTAGATTCTAAGAGGCACTAAAAAAACGGGACTCTCTGTATGCCTATCTGCATCACAAAAATGGTCATTTCCCTCTATTAATCCCAACCCCGATTCCATTAAATAGTGAGGTATGTTTAATGGAATCTGGGTTGGTAAACTAGAGGGGAAATGGGACCATTTTTGTGATACATATACAGAGAGTCCCTTTTGTAGGGCCTGTTCTAGGATCTACAACATAGTTTTAGCTCCAGCTCTATATGTTGAATTTCTGATGAGCATTGGAACTGGAGTAACTCAACCTATTAACAGGCAACCTGTTTTGTTCGCGGTGTAGCTCGCTTAAAAAGACTGAGAATGATGAGTTTAAGGTATATTGTTCACGTTTGAAAAATAAGCTGTAAGAGGTCCCGGGTCAGATCTGACCTACTGTATTTGGCCTCGCACTTTTCCCGGTCAAAATCGACACTTTTCCGGGTCGAACTGATAATTTTCTGACTCATTTTCCAGGTTAATCAGACCCGGAAAGTCTGGGTCAGAATGACACTTTCGTCACGGTTTTCCGGGTTAAAATGACCCGGAAAAATTTAATGAGTCAGAGAACAAAATGTATATAATGTCTACCCGGATTTTTTTTTTTAGAGTGAACATACAATTCCATGTGCTGACTCCGCTGTCATCTGTCATCGAATTCTTGTACAACGGAATTGAGTGATGGTCATCGCAACGAATCTGATAACAAACCTGCGCACTTTTCAGGTCTTCTTTTTAAATATCAAATCGCTAGATCGTATTTGACCCCGGGTCAAACTGCGGAACGCGCGCCGGTGTTCGGTGTTCGGTGTTCGGCTATTGTGGTGTAGGGTACCTAAAGGTTCGAACCCTATTTATAGGGAGTGTAAAGGGCATGAGGCACATCCAAACCAACGAAATCTTCAATAACAATTCCGCCTAAAGCTTTCAAAAGGCTACGCTCAGAGGGGATACGTTGAAGAATTCAGCATCACTCGTGCTGGCGCATTTTGTGCACTTGAGTATGCATTCCCTCGATAAACCAAAATCTTTGGGCAACAGACCACCATACAAAATCTCCACTTACCGGATCATTCATGGACGCTCTAATGGTTTTTAGTCAAATATCCTAAAGGCGACAAATATCTCGCAGGAGTAGCCATATCATTCATCATTCTTCAGTCTTGGTTTGATGGGCAGAATTTCCCGAGGAGCATCAACATGCTCCTTAATAACATCATCGGCCCTGCAGGTAATAAATGTCAAATCACATGAGACGACGGTGCAATGTATAGTGCTTTCTTATATGCAACTGAGTTATGACTGACAGCTTCGAATCGCGTGGGTTAAGTAAACGAATTGAAAGGAACAAGTTGTATCTTGTCATGCCAGAGGGCCTCTAAATCAGCTTCAAAAATTGCCTCAAAATCAGCTTTAAAAAATTGCCCAAGCACGTAAAAGTCGTTTAATATAGGCCCCCTATACCAATTTATATTGACGTTATACCTTTTTTTAAGGAGGTTGGGGCTTACTTGTGGCAACTTGCAAAAGGTAATCGTTTTTTTCGACAGACATGCACGGTCAACCCAGTTTTGTTTCTTGTGTGTGTGTTTTCTATGTGAAAGCGTCTGGTGTATTGCCAACACAAAACCTAGCATTTTCATGCAAGGTTTTTATTTAGCGAGATATTGACCCATCAGTCCACTTACAATGCGAAATAAAGGGAAGTCAAGCTATTCGGTTGGTTTTAACTGCCAAAACTGACAAACATTCTCACAATAAACTGTTTACTACACATCGCGCGCCGTTTCACATGCGCACTAATTAATGTTCCCATGTATGCGCACTAATTAATGTTCCCATGTATGTGCACTAATTAATGAGGTGTCGTGGCCCTTGCGTGGTCTAGAGCAAGTTGAACTCGTGGTCTGTGGGTAATTCTGAAGGTTGTAGGTTCGAGTCCAGCCAGGGGTTGTGGTGCGCGTGTCCTTGGGCAAGGCACTTTGTCACTCATTGCTTCTCCCCACCCAGGAGTAGATGGGTACCTGTGAGGGCAGAGATGGTTACTGTAATTGATTTTAGTTGCCTAATTACGCCAAATGGCAGCATCGAGTTGTATGCCCTCAGGGAGCTGAGATTGTCTTTGGAATGTTTCATTGGCCCAATCTAAGGGGTGATAATTGTAAAGCGTTTTGATCTTTAAAAGTTAAAAGCGCTGTATTATATTATAGTAAGGGTATAAATATCCCCGTTTATAAGCAAGCATAGACCTTTATTATTGCCACCATTTTAGTCACGTTCCCTATATCCAATAACAGTACTGCATGATAATGGTT